CGAATTTCACAAAATTTGTCATTTTTGTATTTCAAAAGGTCAGCGTCTATTTGGAGTTAGAAGAGGCTGGTCTCAGAGTGCGACTGTACTTACTGCCTCTTGTTTAAGGGGAAATTTTAAGGTATTTACCATGCAAATGATCCCACTATTTATGACTTCCACTTTTTTGCTTAGTAGATCAGGAGATCCTGCTCATCGAGACTTTGCTAGAGGGCAACAACATGAAAGCCGTTGCTGCTTTTCACAAGAATTGGCTCTGAGATGCGGCACTAAGCAAGGCCACCAGATTGCATAATTCATAAATTGTCAAACGGAAAATGTTGCATAAAGAATGAAGCATAGGAGTGAGTACAAAAAGAGACTCAAATGAATGGCCCATGGTCTTGCTCAGCACATGTGAATCCCCTTCTTCAAGGACCAATTGGTTGTGCGTGTGTTAGCTCAGCCTTTAAGCTTCAACTACTAACACGTGGAATTGAATTGAACCGTATGACGAGGACCACGAAAAACTGGATTGGCATGTCTGCGTTATCATATGCTGTAGTTTGCAAACCACATTTTGAAGTCGAGCGTTTTGATGATGCCTTCGACCCAAATAGCGGTGCATCGTGGATGCATTTGTCTCTTAACAATCACTTGTGGAGGCCCTTAAACTAATCGACGAAGTTAATTGGTGCGGATGGCAATTCCTTCGGGCGAAATTGGCAGTTGTTTGCTGTACAATAATCCACTTGGTAAAACCTACTCATTGTGTGTGATCTGGAGAGTGCACTTCCTCGAACGCTGAAACGTCGTAAGCATGTGGATGCAAAACGTTTGTGAGAATGAGTTATAAAGGCCTTCTTGTAATGTCCAATTCTTGATCGAGGCGCCGATTTGATGCTCCTGAAACCTTAGCAACATTCCCACGAACTGTCTCAATGCATTGCATTGAGCGATTTGCCGAAGGACATCCTTAAATTTGTTAACCACTATTTTCACGGTTGATAAGTTCCTCCACTTTTCCAACTATATTCCATTCGAAAATTTGGGGATTGTGGCTGTTAAACCTGCGTCCTTTTCAATACACTGTTCAGCAATTAAAGCGCACTATTCTTTCTTAAATGTGCCAACTTTTTTTACCACCCTCTACAGTCGACTGTGAAGCCGATTTTTGTTGGACTCACATTTTTCCTTTAAACGAGTTTAAAAGGAAAGTTTGAGACATGCCTGTTACTGTCGAGCAATGAGGGGTGCAGACTTGCTTGCGTAGCAAACAGCGACCATCGCATGCCCACTCACGCCGTTCGCTTGTAGCAAGTGGACACAAATAGTATGAAATAATGCATTTCTAAATGAACCAACATCAGGCAGTCTAATGCTTCAGCATGAAATTGGACTGCTAGCACCAACTAGCGCACTTCACACACGATAAAATTGACTTTGTAGAAATTCTATTGCTTATCAAAGCTTCCAACATCGATCTGATAATGTTTCGGATTGAAGACTTTGCGGCGACCTCAGTTCCTCCGCCCACACGCGTTGTGTGGTGTGGCATCGAAGTTGTGTCGGTGACCTTCCAGGCCCTTTTTGTAGTACTTTGGCAGGCTACGACTTGGAAGGGAATTTGAGACATTGCACCATGCTCTTACATCGCATTACTTCTTGGAATTCCTGCTGCATAGTTGCTCAAAACGTAGAATCAATTCAGACCGTATATTTTAAACGGCAGTGCAAAATGTGTCTTTTTGAGGGAAACTTTCAAGCCTACGACAACTGGTGATTACGAAAATTTTACCATCTGAAATCCTCCCGCGAACTCAGAGCTCCTATGGTCGCGATTCACTCTTCTCTCCCCATAACTTCACACAACAAAAGATGTCTCCAGTTGATTGGAATGAATATTTTTGGGGTTTTTAAGAAGCGATGAAAGGAAAGGCGCTAAATGCCAGAAGCATTGGTTTAAAATCGCTGGGTTAAATGTCGATTTTAGGAAGTACAAGCTCACTACCCAAAATTATTCTCATCCCGGACAACATCGAGCATAGAAGTTGGGGGACCTATTTGCGATAGATCAAAAGGAATGCCGATGCCGTTTTCTTAGTGACTCTGGCAAAGACAGACAACTAGTACACCCTCAGATTTTTTGGCTCTTTATCTAGAGACTTCAATACTTTTGCCATCTTGCAGTTTGCACCCAGCAGACAAAATGTAAGTGGAAGTTGAAGAAGAGGGGCGGGTACTCGATGGCTTGATGCAGGAAAGCTACATCGCTAAATTCTCACATCTCCATCTTTGATAGTAGCTTTTAAGTAGCTCCAATTCGTCTCCAAAGTTTCCTGAAGGAACCTTATCCCTGCACCAACATACTAAGACTACAACGTCTCTTCGTACTTTCCCACCCAAAGCCTTAGGCTTTCATATGAACAAAATAGACAGTCAATGCACGCAGCTCACCCACGTCAACAGTAGCGAGGCAAAAGGACTGAGAGTTGTCCGTTAAGTGCACTAAAATGATGCCATCTTAACGTGTCATGTTGAGAAGAGCAAAGATTTCTGAAAGAGGTAAAACTTCCTGTTAAGGTAATGTCGAATTTAACGGTATGATGTCATCGAAATTAAAAGTGACTAACAGATCGACCTGGTTTAGGGAAGATGGGCAAATCCATTCTCGCGTAAACTATAGGAAGCTAAACACAAATAAATAGGAGGATACCCACTCCCAGGAGTCAGAGCGATTCTTAACTCTAAAATTAAAAGCAGGAAATTGACAAAGAGAGGTAACAGAAACAGAAAGTGGGAAGGAAGCTTGTGCATTGCCAGAACGACCCAATAAACTCTAGACAGTCACCTCTCCGTAGCTTACACAAAACACACTAAACGGGCAGTTCCCGAAAGGTCGTATAAGTAACTCTGATATCATTGCTTTTGATTGGGATTTTGGAAATGTAACACCAACTTGAGATTAGCATAGGGCTATCTTCGCGAAGCAGGTGATGTAGCACTCGATCGGCACAATGCGCAAGTGAGCAAATTCACCAGATCTTTATAACTTCTTGGCATTGTCAGGTTGTTAAAAATTGTGTTAGGACCCCAAACCTGTGAAGTAGAGTAGCGAGAGAACATAGGAAAAACAGTCTCAAGTGGGAAAAATCACAAGACAAAGCACTTGAATAATTGGAGGAAATTCCTCATGAACCAGTTCAAATGGTGTCCGCACGCTTCAATGAGGATCAAGGAAGACAATAAACACACCATTCCTCGCCAGAGTACAATAGTTAACAAACAAATGAGAAAGAAAGGCGCAGCTTAACATAGACTGCTCTCCATTTTCACCGTAGCTAAACAATTCCGCAAGAGGAAGATCATTGCGCAAAACAAAGCACCAGCTGCCGGCCCAGTCGAAGCCTCGGAAATCTTCCAGTTAGGGATAATTTTCTCTCCCGGAAAACCTAAACGATATGGTCGACGGCACTATGGTAGAAAATCCAATCTAAGTAAAAGAGACAGTATTTCCTTAAATACCGCACTTTTGAGGGGACCCCTTGGTTATCAAAGACGAAGCACGCAGAAACACGACATGATTCTCTGATTCCCTTTCTAACACACAGAGCAGATGACCTCATCGAGCAAGTCAGCCACCTGCAGGTTGAAAACTTATTGTTTCAAGATGATATTAGGTCAAGCTCATCGGCAAAAACTAACCTTCAAGATTTTCATAGGTGAGAGGATCGTATGAAGGAAAAATGTCGGATGAAAGGGAGAGAAATTGATGGTCTTCTCCCACCCCAGCAGCACCTGCTATCTATCAAAGACCTTACCTCATGGAAACCACGCCACAAATCGATCCTCACAAATTTTCTTCACAGATTTAGGGACTACTTAACAGGTTTTCCAAAGCCGGTGGGGGACCGATGGGAGACTACTTCTCAAAGTTGACCAAGATAAAGCTCATTTAGATACGGACCGAAAAAACAATTGTATCAGTTTTTCCTTAGTTCCTTAAATGTCAACAAGGTGTCCCCAAGTCACTGGTTTTAAAATTCACCTCTCTGTCAAACCAGCTGAGATCTTTCCAAGTTAATCTTGATACATACCATACATTTATATCTATAACAGTGTAGAGGTGGAGTGATTTGCTCACAGATATGCCTTGAGTGAAGCCCTCGTGTGAATGCAGGGTAAATTTCATTCTTCTCAAAGGCAAAGATACCTTCCAATTGCTGGAAAGCATCTCACTAACAAAACAAACAAAGACAAGCGCAAACAAATAATAAACACTACCCCGCACTCAGCCGATCGCAGCTCATCAAAACAAAGTGCGCTCGTTCAAACGTTAACCTCCAAATTAGGCGCCAGCGGAAGGAGAAAAGGAAGGGGTATGCAAAACACGTTTACTTGGTTGTACTATTTAGGTTAGGGTACACGAACTCTTCGCAAGTCCAAGAACAACCCCAACATTTCGTAAGCATCAGTTTTTGAACACCACTGAATTAAAGATCGTATTATCCAACCATCGCTCCTGCATAATGAGCGTCAAGGCTTTGGCGGAGAGCAATGCGCATGAGGAACTGCAATAGTACGGATGATTAAAAAATAACCATATAAATCAGGCCTTAATAAAGTGGATTGTGGGTTCGTTTGTAAGATTCATTAATGCGCACCGTTTATTGAAGTTTTAAAACTGAGAGAAGTAGCGATGATGGAGTTTCAAATGAAGTTAGCGTCCAGATTTTAAAAGAAATACAAAATCAGATTGAAGTAGTACTACATCTGTAAGCGCTGCCGTGACATATCCTAATTTTTAAAAGCATGCAAGGCACATTCTAGTTCAAATAGCTTCGGCCAAATATGTACATTCGAGTATTACGGTGATCTGCTGCGCCCCTTGGTTTTCAAAATCCCTTTATGTCATATGCTTCTAAAACAAACACTGGGTTCTTAATCGAAAATTATGATATAGCTGTTTAAATAACTGACGACTACATTGTTTGAATTGGTCATACCTATGGGCTCTAGAGATGTCTGGTAGTCGTAACTTGTTTTGTCTTCATGTTCTACAAAATTAGATTTATATTATACTGAGGAAGGCATTGAGGAGCTTCAAGATGATGACATAGAAGATATTCCCATGCAGCTGAATGCACAGGAGGGAGATGACGACGAAATAACTCCTGATTTATGGCAAGAGGCCTGCTGGCTCGTTATCAGTAGTTATTTTGATGAAAAGGGTTTGGTTCGGCAACAATTGGATTCTTTTGATGAATTTATTCAAACGTCCGTCCAAAAGATTGTTGAGGACTCCCCTGTTATTGAGTTTCAGGCAGAAGCTCAGTACATAGGTGGAATGATTGAGAAACCGGTAGAATGAATCCCTAATTTGATGTATTTTAGGTGCAATATGCCCTTCGATTTGAACAAATTTATCTCAGCAAAGCAACTCATTGGGAAAAAGATGGTTCTTCTGCTCCCATGACACCGAATGATGCACGACTTCGGAACCTGACCTATGCTGCCCCCTTGTACGTTGATGTTGTCAAAAAAGTCACCAGGGACGGCTACGTCGATGAAAAAAAATTTGAGAAGAAGTTTATTGGCAAAATTCCCATAATGCTGAGGTAGAATATGTCTGTGTTCTGATGTGCGCTAGGTCGAGTTATTGCATTCTGGCTGTAATGAGCGACCGTGACTTGGCAGAACTTAATGAATGCCCTCTTGATCCTGGTGGCTACTTCATTATAAATGGATCTGAGAAAGTTTTGATTGCTCAGGAGAAGATGGCTACAAATACAGGTTGGTGTTTGCTTTTGTCTTACGACCTTAGTCTATGTATTTCAACAGAAGGACAGCAAGTACGCCTACAAAACTGAGATTCGATCCTGTCTTGAGCATAGTTCTCGCCCAGCCAGCACGCTTTGGGTTAACATGATGGCCCGTGGTGGTAAAGACAGCAATAAACGCGCAACTATCGGTCAACGCATTGTTGCCATCCTCCCTTATATCAAACAAGAGATACCTGTTCTAATTGTGTTCCGGGCTCTCGGCTTCGTGGCTGATCGTGATATTCTAGAACATATTATCTATGACTTTGAGGATAGTGAAATGCGTGAAATGATAAAGCCGTCTCTTGACGAAGCTTTTGTTATTCAAGATCAGAAGGTTGCGCTTAATTTTATCGGGTCCCGTGGTGCTCGCCCAGGCGTCACGAAGGAAAAGCGCATCAAATATGCTAAAGAGATATTACAAAAGGAAACACTTCCTCATGTTGGTATTTCTGATTACTGCGATACTCGCAAGGCCTTCTTTTTGGGATACATGGTTCACCGTCTTCTTCTCACAGCGCTCAAACGACGTGATGTTGACGACAGAGACCATTATGGAAACAAGCGACTGGATCTTGCGGGTCCTCTACTTGCCTTTCTCTTTCGTGGACTGTTTCGTAACTTAACCAAAGAAATTAGACTGTATGCCCAAAAGTTCATCGACAAAGGGAAGGACTTTAATCTCGAAAATGCTATTCGTAGTCAGATAATAACAGATGGCTTGAAGTACTCCCTCGCTACGGGCAACTGGGGAGATCAGAAGAAGGCCAATCAAGCTAGGCCGGGTGTTTCTCAAGTTCTCAATCGACTCACGTTTGCATCTACCCTGTCGCATCTTCGGCGTTTGAATTCTCCAATCGGTAGAGATGGGAAGTTGGCTAGACCTCGTCAGCTACACAACACTTTGTGGGGCATGATTTGTCCAGCAGAAACGCCGGAGGGTTCTGCTGTTGGTTTGGTCAAGAACTTGGCTCTCATGGCGTACATATCTGTCGGGAGTCAACCGTCACCGATTTTAGAGTTTCTTGAGGAATGGAGTATGGAGAACCTAGAAGAGATTGCTCCCTCCGCAATCGGAAAGTAGGTTTTCTGTCCACACAACACTAATCTTTAGAACTTGTAAAATCTTTGTCAATGGCTGCTGGGTCGGGATACACAATTCCCCGGATCATCTTATGGTCACACTGAGGAAACTTCGGCGCCAAGTGGATGTTATTGTGAGTGAGGTCAGCATGATCAGGGACTATCGTGATCAGGAGATCAGAATTTACACTGATGCTGGTCGTATCTGCCGTCCGCTTGTCATTGTTGAGAAAGGCAAGCTTATGCTCAAGCGGACTCACATCGATCAACTAAAAAATAGAGCCTATAACCGTTTCTGGTGGGTTGCCTCTCACATTTTTACGCATTATTGATTACTATGCTGTCAATATGGATAGAAGCTGCGACACAGAGGATGCCTTTTAGACTTATGATTTGCTCATTTTTTTAGCTGGCAAGAGCTTGTGCTGTACGGTGTGGTGGAATATATTGACATTCTAGAGGAAGAGACAGCCATGATTGCTATGGGTCCGGCTGAAATGCAGGCCGCAGTAAATTACTGCAAGACCCATACTCACTGTGAGATTCATCCAAGCATGATTCTGGGCATCTGTGCGAGCATCATTCCCTTCTGTGATCACAACCAATCTCCGCGGAACACCTACCAAAGCGCAATGGGAAAACAGGCTATGGGTGTATACATCTCCAACTTCCACACTCGAATGGATACCTTAGCTAACGTATTATACTATCCTCAGAAGCCCCTTGTTACCACGCGATCAATGGAGTATCTGAGGTTCCGAGAATTACCAGCTGGTATCAATGCCATTGTGGCGATCGCTTGCTACACTGGCTACAACCAGGAGGACTCGCTAATTGTTAATGAGAGTGCTATTCAGCGTGGTTTCTTCCGATCGGAGTTCTACCGAACTTATAAAGATCAGGAAGCGAGACATGGAATGGATCAGGAAGAGGTTTTTGAGAAACCAAATCCACAAACTTGTCGCGGAATGCGACACGCCATTTATGATAAGCTAGACGATGATGGTCTCATCGCTCCTGGCACACGTGTTTCCGGTGACGATGTGCTTATTGGAAAGACTATTTCCCTACCAGAAAATGAGGATGAGGTTTGTTTCATGCGCTCCTGCTGTACGGATTGCGTTTTATTAAGCTCGTTTCACAATAGGCTGGTGTATTCATTTTCAGATTGCTTGCCTACTTTTAATTTAAAAGTACAAATCGTTTGTTCATCTTGCAGCTCGATGGTGGTCAAAGGCGCTACACAAAACGTGATGCTTCCGTATTTATGCGCCGCAGCGAGTACGGCATTGTGGACCAGGTAATGGTCACCTGGAATAATGAGGGGAATAAGTTTTGTAAGGTGCGTGTGCGGACCACAAAGACGCCACAAGTTGGCGACAAGTTTGCTTCTCGTCATGGCCAAAAAGGCACCTGCGGCATCCTATATCGACAGGAAGATATGCCCTTTACTTGCGAGGGTATCACTCCTGACATTATCATCAACCCTCATGCTATTCCAAGTCGAATGACAATTGGTCACCTGATAGAGTGTCTTCAAGTAAGGCTGCATTAATGGTCTTAATTCTTCGCGTAATTCACTCAGCTTTGCCGTACTTTTTAATTTATTTTCCCACATTGCCTAGTCTCTGTATAGTTTAGGAATCCTTACATCAGCCAACATCATTGTCTTCCCCAACTAAGTGCTCATTTCTTAATATTAGCTTTCTCCGAAAATATTATCCGGTACTTCGAGTTATTTCACGTTACCCGGCTTCATGAATGGCCCGAACTTTCAAGCTTATAGGCGCATTGTTAAGCATGGTTAAATTAATAGCGCTCTGGTTTAGATTGTTTTGTATTTTTGAAGCTCTTTTATTCTTGTATTTTTCACTTTATCGAAATTGTCGGCTTTTCATCATAGGTCTGTTGGACTAATTTTGTTTTGCAAGTCAACCCTTTCAACAATTTTCGCTCATATTTATGGCAACAGAGTGGTTAGTCATCCTTAACATTATCTTTCTCCTGTTTATTATCATATAGGTTATTGTTTATGGTTGGTGCGAAAATCTCTTTCATTATCTGCACGTCATCCCCGACACCAATCTTTACATTTGATGCCTGGCATTCCTCTGTAATAGTTCCATAGTTTCTCTTTACTCCAATTTATTGTCCTTAAGCTTTTGTAAAGTCCATTTAGGCGGCGCTACTTTAATCCATTTTGCCTAATTGCTGCCGCTCTGCGACAACCTAAGTTCTCTCCAGAAGGATAAGTCATATTGCGCTTAGTTACTGTCGCTTGTTCGGTTATAGGGGAAAGTCAGCGCAAATAAAGGCGAGATAGGCGATGCTACCCCCTTCAATGATGCCGTGAACGTACGAAAGATTTCCATCCTCCTGCAAGAGTACGGCTATCAACACACAGGAAACGAGATCATGTACAATGGTTTTACAGGTCGTAAACTGAACTCTCAGATCTTTTTGGGTCCTACGTACTACCAGCGTTTGAAGCATATGGTTGACGACAAGATCCACTCGCGCTCACGTGGACCTGTCCAAATTCTCAACCGTCAGCCAATGGAGGGTCGCAGTCGCGATGGCGGTTTGCGGTTCGGCGAAATGGAACGTGACTGTCAGATCGCCCATGGTGCAGCCCAGTTTCTCCGGGAACGCCTCTTTTTCGCCAGCGATCCCTATCAGGTTTATGTATGCAACCTCTGTGGTCTGATGGCTATCGCACATCAACGCAACAAGACTTTCGAGTGTAGTGCTTGCCAGAATACCACGCAGGTAAGTCCAGTGATAATTGCGATCTGTGTGTGAATGCTTTATTCCCACCCATAAATGCATTTTCGATTCTTGTTTTGATTGCTGTACAGAGCCTTCCATTTGATTGCTCTGCTTTACACACTACATGCAATGTTTGCTACCGATTGGGTAGGTGTCCAAGCATGTGTTCCTACTGTGGATTTGGTACTATATGGTAATGGTTCTCTCCAGTCAACTCCATGCGCCCATAATCGACAACTTCGCCTGCTTAAATGGAATTCTATGCCGTCGGTTCTTGCAAGTGTTCCCCTTTCTATGAAAATGCGTGATGTCATTGTTCGGCGTTGCGTAAATCAGGAAAGGCAAATTGAGAGATATTTCTCCACAAAGGATTAATACCAACATGTATTATCAAAATAGTAACCGTCTTCCAGCCCCACTTTCGTTCGCCTTTTTGCCATTGCAGCAGTTACTTCGTCTCAGACTTGGTGGTTTTAATATTTACCTTGCTCTGTATTTAGACTTATCTTTTGTTTACGCTAGGGCGCTTCGAGTGTTTTTAATGCCTTTCTGGGTCTCATTTGTTCTGAGGAGATGCCATCATTTGCTAGTTGTGATGTTTTTAAATTCACAGCTCTCCTGTGCATGTGGATTGGTCCCAGACTTCACTATTATGCTAATGTATGCGATTATATTAATCTTATCACGCCTATCTCGATTTTCTCACCCATGTTCTGGAGAGTGCAAGTGGTAATGCATTAACCCGTTGCCATCTTTCAAGCACAAATGTTATTTCTCATCAGCTCTGTACAGCCATGTACGGGTTTGATATTTAATTTAGCTTTTGGGGTTTTTGTGTCTAATTGTGTTGGAAGGGAAGTTGTCTTCCTTTATTCTGGCATTTATGTCGTTAAGGTTATTGTTTGGTGCGTATTTCTTACTCGATGCGGCAATACATGGGTGCAAATTAGCCTTCATTGTAAGTGGAAACTGTCACATCGGAACGTCGACCCACACTGAAGGAGGTGGCTTAGGCTTACCTTCACTTACACGCATTACGTGATCGTGAGATTAAGAATCAGGTTCTCAAAGTCTAGTTAGTTCCTCCACATTGTGCATTGACAGTGCTGTGCAGTCCTTTACTTTGCATGAAACAAGACTAACAAACTTCTGCTCTTTGTTATCAGCCTAGTTCTTTGTTTATTTCCCATTTGATGCTTTTTTATCTCTGGTTGTTGCTGCCATTGAAACGGACTTAACAGTTGCAAGTTGAAAGTCGAATCTGCTATCTCATGGTTGCTTGATGTACATTGTCGGTGATTATGTGTCCCTGGTCCCCTTTCATTTTCACATTTTTAGTAATTGTTTTGCTTCACAGTCTGTCTACTGATTGGGTTAAAGATCACCAAGTTTTAAGGTCACTTTGCCTTTGCCTTCAGATCTTAGTTCTTGCTTGGGAAGGAATGTTTTTCGCTAGAAATTCTATTAATTCTTTGGTTTATTTGTAGATATCCCAGGTGGCTCTGCCGTACGCCTGCAAGCTTCTCTTCCAAGAGCTCATGTCTATGTCCATCGCACCGCGTATGATGGTGAATGCAAATTCCACTCAATTTTAACTGACGTATCCGTTCCTCCTGCCATTGCGCTTTGTCACTTAAGACTCGTGTTTGTACAAATAAATTTTTTCACGAGGTTCGAGACTTTACTGTCAATCACTGAAACATTTATTCTCTTCTGGTTTTTTCGCTAACAGCGCTACATGCACGTGATGTCCTAGCTTGGCTCGCTTGTCTTGGTCTCTTTATTAACTCCTAAATGGACCACTTTGCGCGTGATCGTCTAACATCAGGACGAACCGATAACTGTGGTGAAACACCGGAAGAGTGGAGTGGTCTCTTCCTTACCCAGAAGTGGCTCGTGGATTTCGCTACGAGATCTTACGCTGGTCTAGAGTAGCAGGGCTTTCCTTGCACTGTCTGATTAGATCTTAGTTGCATGCGTTTGGATTTCATCATATCGAATTGGTCGGTGTGATTCATAATTGCTTTGCTTTTAGCGAGTTGTCTACGTTGTTTGAGGTTTGCTGCGCATCTAACTGGACCTTTTCGGGGTAGGTATGGGAAAGCTTTTTTGTCTCGCCAATTGTGGAAATTTAGTGCGTTCATCATTTCTAGGTTTGTGATGCGTTTACGGGTCTGGTGTTATAAACAAGTAGTCGGTTAGTAACCATTTGAACTGTATCGAATTTTTGATATCTGAAAGTGGTGGTCAAACTGACATTTCGCCTGAGAGCTATCGCCATCCTTAGTAAATATAACCTCCGACTGCGTGATTTCAAGGCCCTTTCCATTTAGCGGGAATGTGAACAAGTTGTCCTGGCGCTTAGTGTATCCCCTTCGGTACCGGAAGTTGTTTGGCACTATTAAATGCTAAGCTATCTCGGAGTCACTATTCATGTAGGCAGTTGTTCGCTAGTTTGTCAGCAAAACCACAGTAAGTTTTTTTTGGTGATGATTCTGTTCCAATTCTACATCTCCTCAAAATACTACAACATTTTGGGCCGATTTTGATGTGACAAAACAGGCAAGCAACCTTAGGTGAACACACGCTGAGCCAGTCAGATGTACTCAAAGATGCGCTCAATGCTGTTTGGGCTTTTTTTAATTCAGTTCTGTCACCTCTGTTCTACTCTTGACGCATTTGGATGCCGAAATTTGCCTTCCTACCTTGTTTCGAAAACTATTCAGGCTTGTTTATTTCTCCTGTCATAGCGTTGCACCTGGGGCGAACCCTCGCTATTGACTGCTGTATAGAGGATGTGCTGATGTCTGCGAAGCTTAGCGTTCCAGACACTTAGAGATTGATAGTCTCAATCTCCGATTTGGTATCCATAAAACTGACCAGTTTGTTTACACGCGATTTCAATTAATCATGCCTTAGGTGTGCACTGATGGTGCTTTTTACAGCCTTTTTGGCATGATCACCTAGATAGCTTGGCAACTCTTGAGGACATTATGGCTCCAAATGTGTGTTCTTGTGACATTGATTTTGTTGGTTTATGGGACTAGGCGTCGCGTTTTTGATAAACCATTCATTTCTCCCTGCATTCACTTTCAGGTTTTGTAAATCAGCCTGTTGGGAGTAGTTGGGCAACGCAAGCATGCCTGAAGCAATCCAAGGACCAAAAACTAACGTGGACCACATGTTGAATGCTTGTTGCGTCGGGGCAATTCATGTTTGTGACGCAAGCAGAAAGTAGCGATTGTACCTCGTGCCTACGTCATGAATTTCGAAAGTCGAGGGCGACTGGAAAGGTCGTATAGTTAAACATAAAACACAAACACATTGTTCTGTTACAAAATCTTAGGCATAAGGTTACGTAACCTTAAGGTCGAAGGCAATCGCTTCCATCCACTTGTAACCACTGCAATTGGTTTTATAACCTCATTGAATCACTCAGAGAACTGCTTTGTATGCTTCGATGCCCTCCATCTGGTGGGAGTTGCTAGAGCTACGAGCTGGTTCAATTTCTGTTTCACATTTGTGTCAGTGTGTCCTGGACAGATGTCGCGACCATCAAAGGTTGTATTTGCACTGATGTTGTACGAACGAAAGGCATGCCTTTTCACTAACAGTCCTGTGGACCTTTTGGATGTTTATCATTCCCCCGCTGACGTACACAAAACATTTGACCAGCCATGGGCTTGTTATAGGGTTTTCAACTCCTGACACTTAAAACACTTTCACCCTTGGGCGAGCAGTCTTGCCTATTGATGGTCGAAATTTCATAGGGCTGGTGACCTATTTATTCCAATGATGTCTGGTACCCAACTTGCGCAAGTGATATTAGCTTGAGATTTTCTGTTCGGAAATGTGACTTGCGATGACTGAATCAAATCAAAGCTAAATTGTAGGGTTGAACTCGAATGCCTGTGATGGTTTCAACTCAAGGCAATGGAAGAGCTGCAGGGCTGGGCAACACCACCAAGCCATTAGGGAATGATAATCTTGGGCTAGAGTTTTGCGTTGCTTTCCAACGCCACAAGTGCCCTGCCTTTCCGTCGGATTGTTTGTGCCATCATATAATACTGTTCAGCCATTTGTGGTGCCAGGTGTAAAGTTCGCCAAAGCGGGAAGCAGATTTTTTGTCCTACCAGTGATTATGTCCAAATTACTTTGTGCAATGCAGTTGCAACTCCCTTTTTATCCGATCTTTTCTACTCGAACACATATGGAGAATGTTGGGGTTGGTAAGTTTATTTGCTTTTCTAGATTCCACCTGAAGTTTGTAATAAGAAGTGTACTTTTGCATGAGTTTACGAAACCTCTCCGATTGTGCCTATCAACTTGAGTGAGCAAAAGGAAGTCTCTCAATCAATTGCCCTCAACTGGGCGTACAGGAAACCTGTGTGGCTGTTAAGCTCCTCTCCTGTCATTTTGGTTGGTAAGCCAATATCAATTTAAAAGGAAGTGTCATAGGCATTTCCATTTGCGTTGACAGTGTAATAAGGTTGAGGTTTAAGTAACTCTAAGTTCTGGTAGAAAGCTGCCTATTGTGTCTTTGCTAAGGAGCTTGACATTATGGCCGTGTCAGTAGTTCCCAAGGCCTTTTGTAATCTTCATTTGCTTCTATGGCAAATAAACGCATACTCTCTCTCAAAGGACGTCTACTTAAGACTCTTCCACATGACAATAAACCTTAGTGGTCCGCTTCAATGTCAAAACTAGCAGAAGCGACTCCCAGAGTAAATCGTTTGCCCCACATAAAAGATCAACTCCGTACGTATGTTCCCTCGAATCCATTCCTCTACCAGCTAGGTGAAAGTTCGATTGGTATGGGTGGCCCGTACTGATGTGAACACAGAGTAGGGAGGAGAATAGGCTTAAAATCCCATCTTTAAGGCACCGCGTCAAATTTTGACTTTTATTTCTTAACTGCGCTTTTAAGCCATTCTTCCCACATGTAGCCGTGAACATGCGTGATGGGCAGACCCTTCCCTATTCCTTGTATTTGGTCGCCATACAAGGCAAAGATTTTGATCCAGTGGAATTTTGTACGAATGGTTGGCATTGCTGAGCTCATTATTTTCTTAATTCACTGAAATATTAATGACTGGAGCAGTTGGCTTACGTGTGCCGCTAATGCAGTACCGTCGTGCGGTGATCGATGTAGGGGACTGACTAAGGAGAGCGTCAGGAACGTGGACCATCAGAGAGTTGGTCCCATGAAAGAAGTTGGTTAGTGTAACACTTGTCTATGCTGCCACCTGATGTCTTGCGGTGACTTCGGCATTCATCTTGCCCTTCTACACGTGAGTTGGACCTTCAGACTAGGCCAAAATCCAATCTCTTCTTGGTCGCTTATAATACCTGTATTCGACCCGACCTAATGCCTTCTTCTATTGGGTGGAAAGTCTTGCGATGCTACAGTTAGCTCTTTGTTTTGATAACTGGTACTGTTTTGTGGCCTTGGTGATGCGCCTTTGTTGGGTTTGCTGGCCTCCAAGTAATTACTCTGTTTCATATTCTGCTTGAGTGTCGTGCCTTCAATCGACTTCTGAGCAACTTCAAGTCGTTGCCATAAGTTTCTTATGCGTCTCGGTTCTTTTTATTTGCGATTGCTTTAGTCGTTAAGTATTTTTAACGCCAGTTCCGGTAGCTTAAGAGACTTCGGCCTTTAAAAGTAGTCTTGTGGGTTAATCTCTAATTTTAAATCCTGGGCACATTCGCGAAACACTTGTGTAAGGCTCTGGTGAATACGCTTGCACCTAAATGTCATGGTAGGATGTTGCATGCGTCAAGGTCGTGGCCCAACGAGCCAATCGGATTCAAGAACCTCGTATGTGTAATAGCATGCATAGTGGGCTTATGAAGTCACGTCTCTGTTGAAACAGAACCGTGAACAAGGGAATGCAAACTAATGTAAGCAAGTTGTCTGGAAAAAAAACTCAATAAATGAGCTCAAATAGCTACCTTCGAAGGCTACCAATGAGTTCACCAGAGCCGTCCAGAGGCTATGGTTTAAGAAAGCTACCCTGCAGGCACCACATCCCTTTCAAATATATTATTTTTTGAGGTCACCACTTAAAACCGTTAAGGCACTGAAATTCTTAATATAAATGGACATGCATTAGCAGCCCTCCTTTGTGTTGCCTATTCACATAAACCTAGCACGCCCACGTTTTCCGAATGCCAAAACGTTCACAAATAAAGGGCTGGAAATTGCGCACACACGTGTACACAGGCTTGGTGATGCTTGTAAGGATCGATAGGGGTATGAGTGTGTTCTGGTGTGGTGCAAGGATAGGATTTCACAAGCCGACATTAATATAACTGTAGTCTGCGCAGACCTCAAAATGACACCCAAACGCGTTAGTTTTCGCATGAGACTCCCCATCACGAAAAAGGTCACATCAGTCTATCATTTCTTCCTTCATATAAGATGACCTTATGGGTAATAAAGTGGTTAACGTGAAGATTGCGGGAATTTGGAGCCAAGTTGTGCTAATATAAACTTTCTTTCTAAGCACAATGATGCTGTGGATTTTCTATATTGTTTCAATTTTGTAGTGAACTTTTCTTGGGACCAAGCATGCCGAATGCCTGAGCAAAGTCAGCATGGTCAGTGAATCAGTTACGAACTTATCGTTGATAGTCACAAATGGAGCTGGCCTCAGTGGCAGTTAAGTATTGCATTCAACTCTTGCTCACACTTTCTGGCAAGATTTGTACGCCTCTTACTACCTTTGTGGCTCCATCCTCCAGCTACTTTCTACCTTCAACCTCCTTCTTCATTAATCAAAGGAGTTCAGGGCGTGAAATTTCTCTTCTTACTATGTGAACTCAACTGCTACTACCGCTCCCTCAATCACAAGATCATTCTCCTTAAATTTCAAGGCTCTGTTTAAAGTGAGATAATTGAATTGACACCAACATAGCTATCATCGTATCTCTCAAAATGCCATAATTGCTTATTTTAAAAGGCTCCTTGTTGTTACTTATAAAATTGGTTCTGTTGCAACAATGCACGTTATTTAAGGAACTGCATGTGGTTCGATACCCTACCCGTTTATGTAGAAAAGCAGAGGTTATAAAAATAATGGCAATCCTAGTGAACCTCAAGTAACGGAGCCCATCCAGGTGGAGGTGAGCACACGCGGAGTGGAGATGACTGTGCAAATGCTTTATGCAGCATCTCCCGCCCCGCTCTCAAGATCGTGTACTTCGCCCTTCATAAGAGAAAGTTTATTCGGAAAAGTTGTTCGACATTTAATGCAGCACGCAGAGAGATTTGGTGGGATTACTGGAGAGGTCTCCAACGTTAGTCGAGAGAAGGCTTTGCATACTCCTCAAACACGGAATTTTGTGTTGAATCCGCCTATCCTCTAGAAGGACAGTTTTAAACAGTATTATGCATTGCACTTTGGTCAAACAGAACCTCTGTTAAGGACGTGATTTATAATAGAGTTGAAGGCACGGTATTCTCCATTTGCGTAAGGGCATGGCCTAAGTCGCATGGTAGGTCGTGGCCCTCAGGTCACATTGATAACCGCAAATAATAACGCGGAACATTAAATGTAGGAGGAGAGAACAGAACGAAGAAACATCAAAAGCGGATAATAATTACCCTTGATAAGCCAAAAGTTGCTAGTCTGTATGAATTTGGCCTCACTCCTCTTAGCACGGGCAAAACATTAGCCCACAGAAAGCTCAGACTTAGGCGTACTAAAGCACTGCCACTGCTCCCAGAGTCACAGTGTTGGCCATTTGTGTCCACTCAGGTGGTCACCCACATGCCTACTCCCTCTCTCCCTTCATTGCGTACATTGCATAAATCTGCAGGATACTTCCTTTAAAAAAATAATAATGCTTTAAGAGGGAGATTAGTCGCTGCCTACTTGCCTCCAACGCGGTTTTTTGGAGGTCAGTACGACCCTCAATCCATTTACATTTGGAATGCCATTCTGTAACCCTTGCATGTGTCAGAGCATATCTTTTTGCCCAACTTACAATTTGTTTTACTTGTCCTGATAAAATGAAAGAGCTCATGTGCAATCAAAATGGGCTTGTAAGTAATACATACTGTGTAGACGAGGAAGATGACTGCATTTTAAGTTATAATGTTAGCTGTGTGTCAGTGATTCGATCCCCCAATTAAGCGTCCTCCAGTACCAATGCAGTTGCGCTAAGCTTTGTTAGGATGTAAGCAAATTTATGTCGAACAAGAGGACGATTTTTGTATTTATTTGAAGAATCAGTGTTGGAGAGATACTACGAATTCGCCATACCTCAAATGACAGGACAAAAAAGGCCACCGTAACGGAAACACTTAAAAAGGCAATGAAACAGAGGAATCAAGGTCAGTGTCAAAATTTTATTACCTTTGTGGCGCAAGTGCCTTCCAGCCGCTCTGAACCCTACATTGCGATAAGATCGCCTAATATGGCCCCAAACAAGCCGTCACTCTTACATCACGGCGGAACCCTTCATTTGTAATAAAAGCTGTTTTTAGCTTTCCTCGAGAATCTTAATCAAAGCATCGAGACTGTGTGCAACGCTCCACTTTTTCGAGGGAGCAGAAGATGGATTTGATGGTAAAAAGTTCACATCCCTTTGGTACACTGGGACCGAAGTGTTCACTTTAACATTCACAAATCAAAAAATCTGCATTTGATGCTTAAGTTATTGAAATAAGGTGAATTGAATTTCGTGCACTATCTGCAATCTTTCCTGCACATTTGTGGTGAAACCGATTGATTTCTGAATTCAGCAAGATCATATTTGCATACCTCTTCGGCCTAGAGAAAGAGTAACAGGAAGATTGGGTTTACTTTTGCTCCAAATTGACGATTATCAAATTGCATTAAAATCTCAAGCCCAATTAGGACGTTCGTTTTAGTACTTGTAGAGGCACAAAATATTGCACAGTGGTAGATACATCATACAAGGAACAATGTAAAGCGCCAGAAATTATACGGCTCAGCCCAGGTGTTTTTGATGGAACTGGACCACAACAGCCCTGATGAAGACATGCATAGAAGAGGGTAGTGACAATATTTCTGGCACGTCAAAGACCATTGTAAGCTTGTTAGTAACAATACTACCTATGGGAGCTCGCTCTTGGTTGGTGGTACGGCTATGTGCACCTCCAGATTTGAGACAGTTCATGCATTGTCTGTCGCTAAATGATAACCGCCACCACTCGAAAACGTATGCTAACACCGGATACTGTCAAACAATTCAACACCGGTAACTGGGTGGGATGGTTTTAGTCGTAAGACTTCCACACAGGAACGACTCTCCTTGAGGTCCCTTCATAGACGTGCATATTGTGGTATGCTGCATGTACTATCATTAAATTTAAGGTCAAAGCCACTCAAAAAAAAACGAAGTAAACACGTGCGATGACCATCTGCATGAGAGAGGTTTTCCACCCACCAGAGCGTACGTATACACCAAAGCTTGACTGGCCTTAACCTAGTTACGATGGCGACAGCAACCACCTCCACACTGCTGCGTCAAGCCTTCGCAACATGTGACAAAGCGTCTCAACAAACAAACGGTTTTTTAACTAAATACTCCTCCCAACCATCTGTTGTATGAGTTCATGCCAGCCTCGCTCTCCTTCCCCTATGTGCTTAACTTAGCATCGGATCCAAATAAACTTCATTTTTCACATATGCTTGGTAAGGCAAAAAGGCAATCCCATGATTTGAAGTCTTAGCTTGGAGTCCGTGTGTTTCAAGGCATCAAAAGTTCCTCTCACTAGCCCTCAAACGAAACACGCGCATATCAGGTATAAAAAGGACTTCCAAGTAAAATATAGTGGGAGGGAGGGAGGGAGGGAGGAGGCTTTTGAATCGGTGAAACGCGTCGGGTCTGTTGAATATCCCAGTAGGGTGATTGGAGGAGGAGGAGGAGGAGGAGGAGGAGAAGGAGGAGGAAGAGGAAGAGGGGGAGAAGAAGAAGAAGAGAAGGAAGAGGAAGAGGAGGAAGGGAAAGGGAGCCCCATTGACAATAACTGTAAATGGACAACATTGTGATACTTGAACGAATGCTAGAGGAAGCAAATGAGGGATTGCACTTTTTCGGTCTCCACATCACTGGATACCTGTAGAAAATGTGATTGGCAATGAGTTCCTATGTACAATAGCACTAAATTAGGTCAGTAAAGAGCAATCACGGTTCAAGTATGATGGAACCGCTCATTTAACAGCGCTATCAATTTCCTCTTCCCGCGGTAGGAGTGGCACAGACAGCTGACGAGTTGACGGAATTGCGCCGGTCCATCGGGTTTGAGGAGACAAAAAGTGTCACGTGCACGAGATAGAAAATCCAAGAAGTCGGCGTACTGTCGTGGCGAGATGTTGGCCAGGCGCGCATGTGTGGTCGCAACGAACGCGCTGATAGTAGCCTCCAGTAGCGGCTTCAGTGGCGGTGCGTCCACAGGCAAGAGAGGCGGTTGCGCCTGCTTCGAGGTCAGGTAGTAGCCCGCGTATGCATCTGAGGAGGACAAAGCATAATAGACAATCTAGATATTCTGCTTACCTTTTGCTTTATACACTCACTTAATGCCTCTCTACACAACCTCTGAAAATCCCATGGCATACCTCTTAACGCTACTGTTCCAAAATGCTCATCGCAATTTGCACTATTTTTGAGATTGCCAGGATTGCATAGCGCATCACTTGCAGTAGGCGAGTCAAGGAATGAAGGAAAAGAGCGTGGTCACTACTCACTGGTGAGTAGACCAGTGAATAGGAGATGACAGGGCAACCAACACCGCTGACATGACTCTCGAGAAAGTATCTCAACAAAACTCCTCATCTTAAAAGAGAATGTTAAGTGGAAGTACGGATGGCTTCAAATGGGAAACTGTTGGGTTAGTGCCCAATCCCAGCGGGAGGCCAATTGACAACTTAATCTTTAAGACACTGAAGCTAAAACCAATCCAAAAAAAGGTATTTCTGCACCTTCAATCACTTTACAGTGCATTCCCAACTTCCCTATCGCCAATCTTTCGTACCAACTATTAACTCATCAAGATTGGGTAGACTTGGCAGAAACGCTTGTCAAAAAGCAGTTTGCAGTTATTTTATGAAGTCTGCCGGCCCCCAATAAAACTTGCAAAGGTGTGGGGTTACCATTTAGGGCAACTTCGCAATTTCATCTCCAAGGGATAGAGAATAAATTTGGGTAAATGTCAAGCGGAACAAATATGAAAGGTTATTTTTCAGTTGGCTTTATCCATTTGCTGACAGGTTCGATGTCAATGTTTATTCACTTATTAAATCACTTGATATCGTGTAGAAACACTAAGATAGAAATTATTTGTTAGAAATGTCTTCAATACCAGAAAACTTTCCTACTTTCACCTGAAATAAGTTGTTCTCATTCAAATATTTTAAAATACGTCAGACTAGTATCACGAGTATGTAGAAAACTGGAGACTCCGGCGCTCCACACCAGTCATCCACCTACTGAGTACTCATGCGCAGTGACTAACAAAGACACCCTTGCCTAGGCTTCTGTTAATAGCTTACGACGGGTCCCAAATGCCTGCACACAACACCATTTCATAGCGTCTTGAACCAAGCTTAACAACCATCCAAGTAGACTTTGATCAGACTATCCTACATCTTGCATGATTGCGCGTGGTGTGTGGATGACGAGGTGAACCAAAAAGAAGTGTGGCACATTCGCTCCTCTCCCATTGGTTCGAGCGAGTGATTGGGTCAAGTTAATGTAAAACTGCCCTTGAAATCGACTTTTTAAACGCGTAAGAATTTGTTACCAATACCCATGATCCTTAAACAGAAAGTTTGATGCTTATTGACATCCAAAAATGCATTCGGACAATCAATTTACTTCGATTAACCTGATAGCTTGGGTTCTAAAAAAAGGAACCATTTTGATGGCAGAGGACTGGCGCTCAGTTCTACTTTGACAGTCAGTAAGGCTAATATTGCATTTAGAGATGCGATAGAAGGGAGGAAAAGTCGCAGTGAATGGCAGGACACTTTGCAAACACGTTTTATTACATCGGAGCTGTAGGAAGCAAGCCCTTGTCCCTCTCCTATTACAAGCTGCTGAAGCTAATTAAGATCTTGGAAAAAGTTTCTACGCCAGCAATCAAAAGCCTTCAGTACGGGCTCCCGAGTTTGGGGATGCGGGTAACAATAAGGACCCACACTTTAAGTAAATTATGTCCAAAATTTTTAGAGACCACCAAACCAGACATGAGGAAGGACCGGTGTACATGGCAAGGCTCGCAACAGGGACTATCGAGGTAAGATCCACTTTTGCGATCACACCAAGCCCATAGAGTGGGCAATTTAAAGTTGAAGTGACTTTGGATTCCAGAACTTTGGGAGCATCTGTGGGGACTCTGAAAAACGGCTCTACGGTGAGGTGCCAAAGAGGAGTGAAAGCCGAATGTCTAAATTCATCAAAATTGAGGTAGGAAATTAGTGTGTTTCCACAAAATAATGTCTATTCTAATCCGCAAATGGTTTTGGAATGAAAGGATAACAATAGGAGGTACGAGAGATCACCTAATCAGACAGACTAGATGTGAGAATGGAGGTCCTTTTTATTGTTATTTACCTATACCGGTGCCAGCCATTTACACTTTCTTTAAACGTCTTTTCATCCAGACCTGTATACCATACAAATGTGGGGCTGTAACTTAGACGTCTGGCTTTGGTGCAAGACAAGGAGTCCGCAAATTCCAATCTGCCAAAAGCAACTACGCCGCTTGACTGAATCACCACTAAAGTTAAAGGAAGTTTAAAGGTAACTTCAAAAGCATATGTCAAAGGAAGAAGGGCGAACTTACGATTGCCGTCAACACGATGGTGGTGACTAGGATGGTGGTGGGAGTGAGGATGGTACTGATGCGTGGGTAGCGGTACCGGCGGGAGAGGCGGAGGCGGTGGCGGTGGCGGAGCACGACAGCGGTGCAAAATATCCGCCAGGAGGGTTGGGCAGTGCACATTTCGCACCACATGGCTGAGAATCTCCTGCAGAGCTGTGAGACCGATGCGATGAGCCAAGAGACACGACCACAACACATCGTGCGCCACCGGATGGCTCTCCTACGGATGCAAAACAAGCACAGATGGTTGGTGCCCAACTTCTATCTCATCATCCTGCAATAAATTCTATTTTCGCCCTCTCAAATGGGTACGTATGACTCCGTTTGTCCTATCCATTATTCATACTTATATCTTGTGGCTTTTTTTATTCACAATCCCTAGAGCGAAGGTGGAAACCTTTAATCCTGAAGAACGTTCAATTCTGTTTGGGGGTTATGTGTTAGCACATTACACTACTAGGACCATCAAAGGAATTAAAATGGTGATAAATTTGTCTGGTTCAAGAAATAAGGAAAAAAAACGCTGAGAAGGCTGATTTAAGCTAGGCTTTTACGGAGAGCAATTCGTCGGTGCGTTCAATTCCTCTTCCCACCTCAGCTAAATTTCAAAGTAATTTGGATACTTTGGGATGCAGATTTCTCCTAAAATCCATTTGATGGTCTGCAAAGACTAGCAACGAAACACTCCTCCTCCGATAAGCTCTCTAACGATTGTCTCTGCTTTAAATATGCAATCCACTTCTCTAAACCCACGCTTGAATGAAGCTTTTGTAACATTGCGTAGAGCTCGTTCGCAAATCTAAATTGTTCCCACACTCCCTAGATGCAATTGGTTTTCCCCTTCTCAGTAAAGTGCTTGAGCCAGGCAGCTGTCCCAAAGAAAAAACGCGCCGACTGGAACTGCTCCAGCATTTCCCAATCAGCTACACGAAGAACTCTCACTCCGGAGCAGGTGCACAGAAAACGTCAGTTACTGGAGCAGATGCCGTCAAACAATTGAGGCGTGTCAATAGTCGGGCATGCAGTCACATCAAGGCGCAGTTTTGCTTAATCACACCTGCTGTAGGCTGCATGCAAATACAACCTTAGAGAGTAGCCACGTTGCTTCCCGGTAAACGAATTAATGCAGATGAGAATGCAAGAGGTGACTGTCTATTCTGGATGCAAATCGCACTGAAACACAATCAAATATGGTTAATTTTACAACCTCCGTCGGTGACCAATAAATGTTTTTTCTTGCCTCCACATTGTAGCAACCCAGTGAATGCATCTCCATAAATGTGCTCGCTCTCACAAGTGGTGGAGGCAACAGAAGAGGCTTCCGTGCCATTATAGTCCAATTTTAGGATTTCGATAAGTGGTTTGTTAATACTGCCAAATCGCTTGAAGAGATGGAGCAGCTAAAAAACTTCTGTGATCAGCACCAGAAAAGAAACCCTCCTAGTTTTTTGGGCTCCAGTTGTTTATGCTGATTTGATGGCGGAGACAGTATCTTTGCTTCTGTTGTCTAGCCGAGGACCCTCACACCAGGGCATAAAAGTTGGTTATTTGCCCACCAACAGATGATGAGTAACAAGCGGGTGACAATTGTTAAACAAATTGTTTACTTCCCAAAAGGATTAAGTTTCTCGCCACAAACTGACAACTTCAATAGGAAGCCATACTTGTAAGCCATTGAGCAAGCTACTTGTTCATCGGCTGGACAAAAACTACCTGAATGCCTCTCAGTACCACTAGCCTCGAAACGTGATGGAAGAAAAATCAAAGCGCCCCTCGCTATCGGTCAACTTAAAAAGTTATAAGTATGCCTAGACGTGGGTATGACAGTTTACTTTCACAACTCAACAGCAGAAACAATGTAGTTATTTAAAAACGTTAACTTCAAACAAATCCTCTTTCCTTACCGCTCATTGTAGAAAAGGTTCATTACCGCCTAGTCTAGTCACAACGCCGAAAATTAAATCCAAGGGCTCACTTGAAGACCACTGAGGGAGAATAGCCGCATAGCGTGAACAGTTAGAGGGAAGGCCCACAGAGGGTAGCCGCGAGCGTCGAGATGTCGGGCTGCCGAGAAGAGGTGAGTGGGTCCCAGGCTACCCGATTTGGCTGCCTCCACAACCAACTGGTAGGTAGCTTCGAAACTTGCTGCATCCAACTCGGTCAGTTGAAGAGCCGTCAAAGCGCAATTTACTGGATCCTGTGCCGCCGCCTGTAAACCAGAACCGTAATTTGCTTTAAGGGAGGCGGAGGTGGAAAACATTCGAGGGCAGGAGAACATTCTCTGCTTATCATCGAGTGGCAGCTTATGTGCCAAAAGAACAAACTATCCGCTGACATTGGCCACGAGCCAAAGTAACGACGCACTGTGCTAAGAATACTGCCGTTCTTGCTAATGTAAGCCACAATGCGTATTTTTGTGTGCATAAATGAGCATTCTGATGGTAGGCGGAAACCGACCGAATAAAAGCATTATCGATACGAGCAGTTGTGAAATTGGAGAAAAGAGATCCAATTATAGACATATCTACTTACATTTCAGGTGTTAAAGGCTGACATTCACAGATCAAATTATTAGTTGTGAAATGGAATAAAGGTAATGGAAAGTATGTCGAGAGCCAACCAACAGCAACACAATCGCACCACCAGTTGCAACCATAAGGTCAAAAGAGCAAGTGCATCAGAGCCAAAATGAATGCAACCTTTACAAGCAAACTTTAACCAAGAATTCCCTCCAAAGGGCCGTAAAAGAGGCGTTTGATCCTTGATTATGTGACTAAAACGTGATAAATGATAACAAGCAATCCATTGCATAATTTTATGAGGGCAATCCACCAATTCACAATAGAATCTTGCATTAATTTTAACATCTAAAGGCGATATAGCTATTTCTGCATTGCCTAGAGACTGTGTAACCCAAAACCACGATGATTTACAGCAATCACTCAATTGTGTAACTGAGCAACTTTCTTATCACACAACAGCTATCAACACCTTCCCTTTTTAATCGCTGATTTCAGTTTGCACCAAAGTACCAAAACCTAAAACATCACAAAAATCGCAATGACTGGTTAGCTTAATCAGTAATTATTCATGCTTGTCCTCTCAAGTCGGGCGGATGCAGTTCGTTGATTCCTTCCTGTGATCTTCTTTCGTTACTCTCTCTGTAATGGTCCTTCCAGCGATCCTTGACACAGGCCTTCAATTTTCGAAGCGTCAAGTCTTCAGACCTTTTAAATACCGACAAGAATGATAAAATAAAATTTGCCACCTCATGGCAATCAAGGACTTTAGGTTGGCTACGCCATTAAAGCCCATTATTTTGGCACTGATCGCCTTAAAGCACCTCGAGAACGCACGCAAATGGTTGGAGAAGTCCATTGGCTGGCAAATTTGACCAATTCGCCCTATAGAGAAACAGAGCAGTCGCTTTAAATGGCACCGTACCAAGTTCACCCAAATCCTGCCGCACTCGAAGTGCTGTGCTCTCAGGTTCAATGTTTCGGAGCTGGCTGAACGAGGTCACCTGTGCACCACTCCATTTAGCAACACTTTGGCATTGAATTTGGACGAAAGAAGAGTAAGACTTCATACAAGTCTGAGAGACCCAAACTGCTTCTCGGACATCGAGAGACCTTTGAAATTTGGCCAAAATGATGTGAAATCTGGCTAAGAGGGCTGAGTAAGTGTTAGCCGATTTTCAGACAGTACTCAGCTTATTTGCGCAGCCGTGACGGTGTTGTAAAGCAGGTCCCTACCTTCGGTATGTGTGCTTTGATTCCAAGTTTTGAATGCCTATCAGAGTCCCACCGGTCAGAGATACGAACGAATTTAAAGAATCAGTTTCAAATGTCAGCTGATGTATTATTATGGAATTTGCTTCAACTTGCCTTCTACTTGACTTTTTCACGCTGAGGGTTCAGAGGCGATCTTGCTTCCTACTCATACGATCAACAGTCCACTTTTCAGATTGCAGACTCGTGGGTGGCGAAAAGAATCAGAGTAAACAAACCACCAATACAACCGCGAAACTGTTTGTCGTTACATGTAACGTTTTAATGTTGAGAACTGCATATTTTAGACCCACAGATCACAGAAGCAGATAGTGAAATGATTTTCCAACTGCTTTGATTGCATCTAAAGGAAAACTATACAAGTGAATAACTTAAAGGTGTATAATCGGTCAATCGTGTAGAAGAGCGGTAGTACGCCCCATTAACTCGAAAAACGGTAATAAAGGAGGCTTCATGAATGTGACTCTGCAAAAAGCGTGAAGAGACAAGAGTAGAACAGCTGTGGACAATTTTTGTTAGCAATTTATAATTGCATTTGTTTGGAACTCTGAAGGTGACCAGAGGCAAAATCCACTGGAGCCTGGAGCTTTGTGGGGATGTGCACGCACATTCTGCATGAACAAAACAGATTTCTAAACTGGCCTTTATTTACCCGATTTTGTGCATATTATTTACTAAACAGAGACTTCCCACCATGTAGTCTGTTGCCTAGGCATTGATGACTATCGGATTGTAGACTTTCGGTGATGAGAGCCACATGTAGCGCAGTCAAACCCAGACTCAGGGACCGCTCGATCGTAACAGTCAAGATGAGACTCGATCAGCGTCAATTTCAGTTGCATTCAGATGTGCCTAAAAGGCCCGCCTCTCCACACATTAGCTAATAGCACATGGAATTGGGCTTGGAATAGACACAAAGGTAATGGGAGAGGATGGAAAGATGTTTTACTACCTAGAGAAATGCATGTCAACTTTCAACCTTCTGACTACTCGTGCTTTCAAGCGAAGGAATGACAACAGGTTAATAAAAAGTATTTTGGATGCAGTGTTGGGAGGAAGAGAAGCGCCTAGTGAAATGTCGGGTCGATAAGACTTAGTAATGGGCCCTTGCATTCGTTTGCAAACAAATCCAACCTAGTCATCACCTCTCAACCTTGAATTCGCATCAATAGGGGCCTCAGAAATATAAACACACGCGCACAGGACCATGACTACCATGGTAACTTTGTTTGCCTCTGCACACGGCAAGGTCGATAGGAAAACGAGCGAATGAAAACGCGGAAAGATACACCACCCTGCCACAAGTCGCATCGCCAATTGGTCAACACGTGAAAGCCAATGGGAGAGGAAAGGCAACCAATGCAAGGGGGACAGGACCAAGTGCACGCATCGCGCGTTTGTGTGCACGCTATAGCAGAGAGGCAGTCTTGGACGAACCTAGCCAGCCTTCAGACGTACACTCTCAGCCATGGAAATGCGAAGACTCACTGCGGCCCTTTTGGGCATTGCTATCGGCCTCATCATCATCGCTCTAGCCATCACTGATTGGCGTTATGGTCTGGCCTTTGGAGGCGCAAATCACGACAAGGAGGCGATGACTGCGGTCACCTTCTTGATCATCATCGGTCTAATTTGTCTTATTATTGTCTTCATTCTCGACATTGTCATGCTTTGTCAGACTGCTGTGCCCTCGGGTATGCTTACAGCACGCTTCGTGATCCTCTACATAAGTGTGGCGCTCATCATGATTGGCGTCCTTGTGTACACGGCCAGAAGAGGTGGACTGTGGCCCTACTTCCTCGTGGTGGTAGGCATGGTGTTTGCCGTCCTTGTGGCCATTCTCGCTGCCGTCTACTCCAGGTGCGTCTCCAGTGAGCGTGTGGTTGTGGTTCGTTCTACGCGTTAGGAAACCGCCGTTGAACACGCCTATGGAGAACCTGCATGTCGCGCACTTAACCCGAGATTTATACTCCAAATAATTGCATCATCGCTTTTCATGTACTCTCTCGCGTGTTCTCTCTCTAGTTTTTGCCTTAAAAAGAAAGTAAACAGTGTGCCAGACCACCAATGCCCGGATCTAACCAGCATCTCTCGCGTCCAGTTAAGTCCGTTCAGCCCCTCTCCTTTCCCTCTTATGTTCTCCCATTAGGAAAACAAATGTGCTTTTGTTAATAAATATTTCTAATGACAACGACTAACTATCGTGTAGACGATACCTACGTGTATTCACCGAATGCAATGGAACAGTGTCAAAGGTGGCCACGGCTAATCGATCGCCTTGTAAGCCTTAACCACTCGAGCTTCAATGACGGTGGGAAGAAATGCGTGTCATGACCCTTTTGGCGTAAATCATCGCCACAATGGTGGAAAGAGCTGCATAATTTGCTTGCTTTCCTTCTACTCCCAAAAATGGCGGAGATCCGGTTGTGGTAATAAAAATACTATAGATGGAGGACACAGGGTGAACTATGGAAAGTTGTCAACAGGGCGTCAACGCAGCACGTGATTGCGTTTGCTCAAATCGTGCATCTTAAAAATAGGGGGGAGAGGGACAGAGGAATTGCAAAATCAGAAAAGGCTGACTGTTTCACCCATCCTAAATGAAAAGTAGATGTTGGCAAGAATTTTGGCCATTGGCATTAAGATAATGATGAATGAGATCATCATGGAGAAAGCATATCTACACTTCGAATGCCAAGTGAATCATGGCGTTTTCCCAGGTCATCGAGACCATGCATGATGAGCAGTAGGTAAAACTGTAGTCGTAGCGAAGATCAGTGAAAGAAAAATAGGTTGACACTAAACTTGCTGGTTGTGATTGATGAGGCACCGGAGTGACTGGTTAGAAACAGCATGGTAGAGCAAGTGGGATATTTTTAGCGTTGATCATAGAAAAATATTTAGAACTAGGAGGACTAAGCAAGGTTGTAAGTCCTTATGATGGAAGGAATTCCCACAGACGCTAATATATAATTATATGTAAAAGTTCGAGAAAACCAGTTTTGTTGATCTTAAGCAAGTGAAATAAAATCTTAAGCAGTAGAACTCCAAGGTTAATCAGGAATTATGGGATAGTGAAAGATAAACAAACGTCTACTAATAAGTAGTTAGTAGCGAGTTTATCTAGCGGCAATCGTCAAATTTGTTATGATGGATAGTAAATTGACGAAAAAGTCAGAGCTAAGGAGCAGGGTTATGCACTTTACTCAGCTATTAAAATCAGGAAAATTAAGGGAATCACTTTACGATGTCAGCTGACACAAAGTAAAAATGGACACACTACCACAAAACAGCATTGTGGCCAAAGTTTCACCGGTTATAGTGCCAAGGGGGCATCTCTATGGCTGCATTGACTAAAGATAGCCAAAAAGTTGTTATATCCTTCAGATTTCATTGACTGAGTGAAGTAATATCTTAATTTTTTCTGCGTTGAGGAAACAGTTTTTTGCAGACTTCTGAAGACTCACATGATTCGCCAGCAGATATTACAGGCCGATAGCTTAGTGAGGTGACGAGTTTAAAAGTTACTGGGGTCTAAAAAACACCTAACTTCACGAAAATAGTGTCACATCCGTAAAGATTGTTTAAAATCATACCTCAACAGCCAATAATCTAACGAACTCAATATAGGAGCCACCAAGAAGAAGAGATCTGGAATCTTCGTCTATGGAGTGTCTGACCAATAGTGGCTATGGTTTAGCTGAATTGTGCTGATGAGGCGTAGTCCGTCCACTCACTGTTACAATGGGCATTTCATTTCAAACACAGGAGTTCATAGATTCAAATTTTGTAAGGTTATTATTTAGGAGTTTTTCGGATTCTAGCATGCGTGGATAGCTACTCAAGAAGTAGGCATTACTCTATTATACGCCATCGTAAAACCTGCACTGGAATTTGGTCAGTTTAGTGAATTTATGATAAATGGTTAAGGTTAGAACGTAGCTTAGAAGGTACCTTTAATGGGCGAAATTCGGTTGCTATTTATCAAATAAACCATGGATCCAGCTCCCTTAAAAGGGTCGCTGATGATTCTGATTATGGTGTAATCAGTTCCATTAATTTTTTTCTACGGTGAAACACGATGACAGGTTCCTGAGTCAGGTGACATCGCAGACTATATCGATCTGCTCTTCCAAAATGAGTCCCCAGTTTGGACGTTACATGACACTTGGCTGCAAACATGGAAATTGGGAGACAATTAGTACTGACTCTTGCCATAGCGCAAAGCTGTCTCATAATCAGCCTTTACTTGACAGTTTACGATTATGTACCCTCGGTGTTCAGATTTGGAACCGCCCAAATTGTTTTTGCCTGGGTTCTGAGCATGCAGTCAATAGGTGTGACATTTGTGGCCATTAGTTTCCTTCTCGTCCTGCTGAAGCTCTCGAGTCGAGTGGAACTGGGATGGTTGCACAAGATCCTTTCCATTCTCCTCGGCATCGCTGCAGGTATCCTCATTTTTGCTGCTACTACCGATCTGATCTACCACACAAGTTTCCACTACGTTCTCACATATACAGGAACGATACTGGCAGGTGTCACTGTTGTGAGCACAGAAGTTAGCCTTTTTAAGATGCTATAACGAGAAAATATACACCGAGAGCTTTAATGTCTTTTTAACACAGGCAACTTCATCAGGTAGAAATGATCAAACTCAATGCAAGTAGTGTCAACATTCAACAGGCTGGTGGATGGAAAAGGGAGTACAAAACAGTGTTTTAGGGACAGAACGATACGAATGCTGCGCTCCGAAGTGAGTAAAGGAAAGACAATGACACAGATGCTGTCATTAAAAATTAAACCCGAAGTAGAGTTTGTTTGAGTCAAAAAAGTGTATAAATTTGAAGACTTAAATCAGAAATTAAACTGGCACGTAAAAGTGTCTCCAAGTCCACGTGAAATGCAGCCTCACCAACTCAAACATCCTCACAAGGGACATGGATTCATTGATCAGTGGATTAAACCGCCACTCACTCAGTCAGGTGACGTGTCGCGCCTCAGCTGAGTTGACAGGGTGCGAGTCCATACGACGGGAAGGTCATACAGCTTACCAAACAGAGGAACAAAACCATGGCGATCAGACGATGAATACAAAAGTACGTGACGTCGCCATCCTGGCAACAGCTATTTGTTTGATCTCGCTATCCCTGATACTGACCACAACCGTAGCCAAAGAAGTTGGGAAACTGGAACTTCTAATGCAGATTTTGCGTGCCCTTGGACTGCTCTGCCTGTTGATAGCTCTCATAACCACTCCCTTCCCGGTGCCTGGTTGCACTGAGATTGAAAGGCAGCTCAGAATCCGTGAGATCTTTCTACTTCTCGGATCCAGTCTAATGTGTCTTGTACTTGCCATTGGTGCTGTTTCGCAGCCCTCCCATATGCAGTTTTGGCTATACACGGGAATCCTCTTTACTATAATCTCCACAGTCTTCTCAGGATCCAGTTCCACTGGTCGTGAGGAGACGCAACCAGAAGTTAAGGAAGAGGAGCAATAGGAGTTGCTTATGTGTTTGTATGATTCAAAAAGCAGTAGACTTGACTGATTTGGATGACATTTATAGTTTGGTGATGGATTAGAAGAGTAAAACCAGAGTCTCTATGCTGTAGCCATGACCTAATCCCATGATTTGCCTCAACATCACCTACTCAGAAATTGTCAACCGCAAATACGCTGGGGACCGATAAAGAAACGTACATCTGCCCGTGGGCTTATGCTAAGGTTTTGTTGGAGCACATGTGGGAGTCATCTTGACTGAAGGTGTGTTGTCTGCAAATGTTGGAGCTATTGGAACGTAGACCTTTAATTACTTTCAAACAAAAAACAACCGGAATGGCAGGATGTTGTCGAGTGTTTATTTATCCAGAATAAAATTGACTGTTTTTCATGGTGATTTACGGAAGTGCATATACTAAAGGGGTTTACATGATTTCAATTCGCGAAGTGAAATGCCATCAGTCAGAATTTGTACCTACTATCGAAATTTCTCGTTGCTATGTCATTATTTCGGTGCAACTATCGTTACTCAGCATAAAGAAATGAAGTAATGCGAACATCAGGAAGTTAAAGCAAAAAACGATTGTAGAAAGACTTTCAGAGGCTATTCGCAATAACTTGTAAGACAACACCAACTTATCACTCAAACTACAAAGAGAAGTTTGGATTTTGAAGAAAAAAGTGAGAAAAGAGAGACCAACCTGAATGGTCATTTGCCTGACTGCGATCTTGATCTGTTCGACGGCAAGGGGTGTGAAAGAGAAGAAACTGTAGATGCGCGGGAGGAGAAACATCATTCCCTCGGCACTGCTCCGTGTGGACCTAACACCGGCACCTGCACCTCCGTTAACCCCTGCACCGACGCCCGAGCTCGCAGGCCCACCAACAGGCGAAACGCAGGCTATGCAGGCAAGGAGGGTGGGTGCTAGCCACGTTACAGCCTCGCGAGGACTGGCATAGAGACTCCATGCCTGTGTTAGATGTAGGAGTGCTGGCGGGCCAGCCAGCAAGCCTGTTGACACGGCCCAACCGAGCATCTCTCGTCGGCGCCAGTGCACTCGAGGCCAAGTGGTGCGCACAGCCACGCACAAGGCCAAATGAAAGGCGGCACAGACCAGGGAGATCCGCTCCTGTAGAGCATTTGTTGGTAGCGGCGTCGTTACAAAATTGACGGGCAGGAGGTTCGCGAAACCCAGACTACCAGCAGTGGAGGTTGTACCTGCTCCAAGTGATGGCCCAGTGGTGGTGGACCCGGTAATGCCAGGAGCAGTAGTGGCAGCAGTAACAGCGGAGGTGTTCAGCAGAAAGGCTGGCTCATCCAGTGAAAAGGCACTCGTGGAGGAGTGCAAACGATGCCCAATCGCTTCCGCCAAAACCTGCCACAAAAGTGGTGTTTGCTGATTAGCTGTTATAGGAGTAAAGAAAAGAGGTTCCAGTTGGTGTTCCCATGAGGCACGTCGTTCAGACAAGTGTCCCGTGAAATACGTTCAGAAGACAGGTGAGGGTTAACTACTACCCTCGGAATGTAATGAAAGGGGGATAGACGACTCAAAAGTGATGCAAAAATATTGCATGACCACATCTGTTGAGTGAAAATGATCTGGTTTCAGTGGTGCGAGCTACTGACAGATTAATCTTTGTTGGCTTGTAGGATTAAGATAGGAGTTACTACAAATACGGTTAAAGAGCTTGCGGCAGAGTAAATTGGGGCTGTGTTCCTGAAGAGTTTAAGGGGAGGAAAAGCGTCTTTGCTACAGCCACCATTCTCTTTAAGCCTACGACCAATTGACAATTACCTAGCTTGCTTACCTGCGATGCTCCTGATAAAACTGACACGGTAACCGAATTCCCTGTCTAATACTGCAAACTCAAAATGCAGAAAATATTTGCATTTCACTAAGTTGCCTTTGAAGTGGCAAAAATTGTGACTGCATTTTGGGCGTGGATCGCCTTTCAGTAAAGATGAGTCCAGATGGAAGGCCAGACAAATGTAAACTAAGGTTATTAGCGCAAGACGTTTACGATGGGTATTTGGACAAGACGAAATTCAATTAACTTTCAAACCAGTTAGACATATACTCCTAGCATAACCATAAGTAATGGACAGAAGACCACAAGACTAGTGTTGTGCCAGTGCTTACACAAACACCCGCCTATTGGAAATCCGAGCTTCCCAGTATGGGACGCTAACAAGGCAAGAGTTTTAAATGCAAACACCAAGATTCGGCCTCAGAACATTAAAACGTACAAAAGGAGGTGCGCAGAAAAGGCAAATGAGGTAGCGTCCATAATGAAGATGAAGCAGTTAGCAAGCGGGCATTATGCCGTACCTCACGTGAAACTGACAGTAAACTGATGGAGGTGTGAATGTGTCGATCACAGACCCTCATGAAGTGGTCCATGCGAAAGACGGCGGAGCGGGAGGCGAGGATCAGACTGATGGCCAGACGCGCCTGTCTGCCCTCCATAGCACCGAGGTCGCGTCGGTACGCAGTTGCTAAAGCGTCCTGGTTCACAAAAGCCGGATGCTGATGGCGGAGTGTTTCCTGACCCTGTTGATGGTAGTTTAGTGGTGGCGGTGGTAATGGTGGTGGTGGATAAAGAACGGGAAGACGGGAATACGGTGTCATTGCTGCATTGAAAAAAGTGGAGGGTAATGGTGGCGAACGGAATGCACTGGAAGTGGAGACAGCAGAGGAGGCGGTGTAAGCGGGAGGACGAGAGGAGTTGTCGCCGTGCCGGTGAGTTGTCGACGTAGGGTTAGTTGCATTGATAACCAGAGGACTATCAGACACTGATTCAAGCACCGGAAGTCTTCAAAGGAAGGAAGGGAGAACTGATAGGCCTTGCCAACGTATTGATTTTGTCTCCCTAGGGCCTCCACTTTTGATGTTCGTGAACAAAGTCCATGAATCAAAAAGGGAAATTATAGATACAGTACGTATGAGTGCAAAAGAAGAGGTTAGGCCCGTATTCGCCCACTGGGAATCGGTGACGTCATTTGCGTTTATAAGCGCAAACGTAGAAAGCACTGGGATTCTCTAAGATCACGTAATTGGTACACAACTCACAAAAATGAGTTTGAATGTGCTCCTTAACGGTATTGGTTAAGTTATCGGCGATGGAGCTAATCTATGAGAGCTTCTAACATCCAGAATGCCTAGTTAGCTATGCATTTTGTCCAGTTTAAGAGACGTTGCTGAAAGCCTAAGGATGCATTCAAAGATAACATACTTCAATTTAATAGTGCACATGGCATAGCGCCTATTTTTGAAAATTTAAAAAGAATTTTGTCTAGACGAATAGGAAATTTGCCAACTCATGGGGAGCGTTTTCGTAGTGCCCAGTGACCCCTACTAAATTATGCTCTAAAGGATGAGGAAAACAGGCGCGACCCGCATGAGTGAATGCCTTGGAGATTTCCATCACACAAAGCAAAGCCAGATGACTAACACCAGCGCAGTGTAGTTGGATGAGTTTTTCGTGTCTACCTCTTCCAGTCTCTCAGCTTCCGCTCCCCATTTCCTAGTGGCGAAAAATCGACAAAGTAATAAATACTTAGTAAACGAATAATACCCATCGGGTTTGCCGACAAAGCAAGTTCCAGTGATCGCTGCTTGATGAAACGTAGAAAGGTGGGAAAAGTTGAGATGGTTTTGAGGCAGTAGGGGGCAGTGACTAACATAAAGCGTTGGGACCAATGTCCCTTTAATACCCGTTTTAGTCTCGGTCATTTAGATCTTAATAGTACAAAAACAGTACTCTCGCTGGTTTTTTCCCACTTTAACTAAAATCAAGCCTACTGACTGCAGTTTCTTAACCATGGTTTCACGAAACCAACCGAGGTTGCTAAATAGCTGAATAGCTTAAAATGCTACGAATGAAAGAACCACTCCCAGAAGTCAATCGTCATCACAATGGCGCGCCATCAGTTAAGGGCAGCTAGCAGACACATTAAGGTGCTCTGCCCCATGAGCCCAAAGCCCCCACGCATTGGCCCACGAGTGATGACCGTGTGTGCACTTTTATAGAACGCGGAGGAAGAGTACGAATGCACGTGGTCGTGTGTGTTTTGACGCGACTAAAGGTGAAGCTTTGCCCTTCACCTAGTCATCATCATCAGCGGCGGCAGAGGTAAGCGGAAACTACATGGACATTACCTCGACCCATTTAGCCCTGTGGGCAACATTTGGGATAAAGGAAGGACTTGAACGTAGTATTGCTGAAGCAAGACCTGATATACTGATACTGAGACATCGCTTATGGCTGGAGAGCATTTGCACCTCTGCTTACACAATGGAAATACCAAAGGGACCCATCTTCCCGTATTTCTAAAAATGCCGGTCGTGAAAAGAGAAAATGTCTTATCTAAGACAGTTTGCTTGCAAGCAAACATATTCAGGCGAAAATTATGCGGTTTGGATCCTAGTAGGGACTTTCAGTGTAGAATTTTTGTGGTCGATTGAAAGTTTTACCAAAGCACAAGTTTTGGTCCATCAGAGAGAATGGACAAGGAGAAGGAAGCGGTAAAAGGGGTTGTAGAAGTTGAAGCAATATCTAAGTGGGTCAAGACAGCAGTCATTAAATTGCCATATCCTGAAGGAAGGACACACAAAAATACCCGACTGTCTGATTGACAGTAAAAAAAACTGTGGTTGTTGCATGAGAGAGGCTAATTCAAGCTTGCATCTGCCACTGGTTTGGAGCACATTGAAAGTGACGGTGCGTGCAAGTGGTGCCTTCTTTCCTCGCGTCTTAGAGACTCTCCAGTTCAAGCCATACTGAAATGCGGTATTGCATTCCACCATGGCAATGTGTTGGGAAAACAAATGAATTTTTATGCAGACCAATGCCTCACTGGAAGCATTAACACTATTTAGAGGACGTATAACTGATTAAAAGTGAGCCAAAGTCGCTAGGAAGATTGTTTTGGCAAAAACATTTTGAGTTGGCCTCTATTGAGCAAAAAGTGCTCCTTTGCTTAAGTAAGCCCTATCTTTTGTATTCAGAATGAATGATTTTGTCTCATGTAGTCAGTTGGTTTAAAAAATACATATTGGAGGAGAATTTACTAGCATTGCCTCTATTCACAGGACCAAAACATCAACAAAGGAATCACCGGTCCATAGAGCAGCAGTCAAAAGAAGCCCACAGACAACAGCGCAACAAAATGGAGGGCGAGTAGAAGTTGCAAAAGCGACTTATCTCTACAGACTGCACCTATTTTCCTACCCTAGCGGTAACCTTGATGGCCTCATCTGAGAAACTCAAGAGTTAGAAAGAAAATTAGTTGCTGCTGCAATTCGGAGACTTTGTTGTTGCTAACCAACATAGGCTGGCCAATGCGCAATATCTGCTGTGTTGCGTTGAGCTCAGGTAGTCCACATACGGCATAAGTTGGAGCAAACGGATACCATAGATTAACAATGAACCCATGTCATACGCTAGTCAAGTAAACGCGTCATTCTGAAGAAAAGTGTGGAGATACAAACCTCATAGCTCTAGCAGCGACTAGGTAGGCAAGTTCGCCAGTGTAAGCTCCGGCTGACTCGCCAGCCAGAAGGTGGCCAAAGAGGAGTTCGGCGACGACATGAACGGGGTAGGTGTCTGGGTGGACGAGGGGCCCCAACGCAGACCACCACCAAGCTCCTTGTGTTCCAGCACCCATGGGATGAAGCGAGGGAGGTGGAGGGCCCATCAACTGGCATACAAGCGGTCCGATTATCTGCGCGGTCATCGCGTTGCGTGGAATGGTGTTTAGCAAGTGAATCAGCAGCATTTCCTGGGCCTGGCTGGCTAAAAGAGCTCCGCTAGTGAATGGAAGACTGCGTTGTTGACATAGCACCATTATTCCCACCTGAGATAATAAAGACAACATTGTAAGGGGTTCAAAAAGCCCATACTTGAGAACTTACGGTCATAGCAACAGAAATATTGTGATACTCTAGCCCATCTCAACAGTAATGAAGTATCTTATGCAAACTTGGCTAAAGGAAAGGTTGAAAATTCAATAAACATTTTCCAAAGGATAAGGTATTGGATAAGGTATTTGTGTGGAATGAATATAGCTTGCTTCAATCATATTTGAGCATGGTTGCCATACGAAAAGCCTCACCAATTCCTCCAAGGTGCCAGAAAACAAGAACTCCCTAATGCAAGAACTGGTATCGGATTGTCACAACAGGCTGATGCACAAAAGCACTGCGAGCATATGAGTGCAAGCTTTTTAGCCGAATGTACACATCATCCAAGACGTAGTGCTGAAAGATAACCAGCTGTCCGTGTGAAGCCCCAAGGGTCAATGGAAGTGAGTCACCTAACTAAACAGGCACAGCTTGCTGAAAGTACCTTATCGAAAAGAGCAAATAGTGGGGCGGCACATACCATCTGATGACCACTGACTTAGACGAGGGCTCGTAGCATTCATCGGACTAGCGTCGAGCCTCATGGCTAAAGTTCATCAGTCACACAGACAATCGTTGTTTGTCTTTATTCTCTCCAATGAAACGAAACGAACTCAGATCTTATAATGCTTGCGTTTGGTATATTTAAAGGCAACTTCTCAGTCCATCACGCACCGAAAACAAGCCTGATCCATTCAGGAGACCGATATTTTTTTCTAAACAAAAATCTGCATAGACGGCTCTTTGAGTTGGATTACTTGAATCGAGCAAAGACCATTGCACGCTAACCAAAACAGACATTTCTGAAAAGATGTTTTGGTGTCTCCAAAGGTAGCACATCATGAGACCGACGACTGCATCACAATTCAATGAGGCTTAACAAGCAATAGACCTTATGAGGTACCTGAGGCTCGTGGCAAAGTTGGCTTTGGACGCACAACTGCCTCGGTCTATGGATTGACAACAATTTCGTGCCCTCGCTATATTTGCGTCTAACCTTGTAAGGATGTTTTCATACCCCAGAGCAGGCAGTGAAAGAGGATAAATAAACAGGTTAGCAAATGGGTTCAAAGCTAAAACTTCTGCTGCTGCATTGCGTTGAAGCTCCGCGTTGAATGTAAACACCAACAAGATCGGAAACAACTGTTGCGAATCATATAAACGCCAGCCTTACACTCGATGATGGAAAAAAATCCTTCCTGTTTTCCATAAATGAGCCTGCTTGCCCCGAAAATTCTAGCTAATTTTTGGAAAAATTAATGTCGCACGGTATCCTCCCAAAACTTGATTTAAATGACGGTTCCGCCCTTGGCAGCTCTTCATAATTATAAATAAACGGATCCCATTTATGAGCTTTTGGCCACTGGGACATCACGAGTCCCTGCTCTGTGCAGTTGGCGAACCCAAAAGGGGACATTTTGTGGGAAAGGTTTGGATTACACTGGAATAAATTTTGGTAAACCACTTCTACTTTTCAGTCAAAAATGACCACAGAGACGTGACTAACAAGATCGACTAGGCCATGTTTCGTTTAACATAGACATTGTGAGACTTAGAAGAAAAAACCAATTCTCAGGAGAACCTTCCATTGGGAGCGAAAAAGCGCACGGATGTTAACACGCCTTCGTGATGCAAAGCTGCCTCGTGAATTGAAGCACGCCTTAATGCACACCAAGTCGCATCGACTGAATCGAGAGTAAAGGAAAACAAAAGCCTCACGTTTATGCAACTGTATATACTATCCCAATTCACATTTCGTTGTCTTTTACCACTGTCAAACAATAAAAGTTACCCTTCTACAATGCATTTCTAAACGGTTTGCTAATGGTAAAAAAAAGAGGGTAAAAAATGCATTCTAAAGTGGGCAGATATCACAATTACCCAACGGACCGAAATGAGGTGGACATTTTACGATAGTAATTCAAAGCAGTTGTCATAATGCGACACAGTGTTGAAGGCACTCGGTTGCGTTTTTAATGCAACTATCCTAAGTGCCTAGAAAGCAGTCGTATGGGTTCCATTAATGGAAAGAGCACTGACCGATCTTTGACAGAAAGTACACCCCAATAACCGAAAATTAATTAAGGATGCTTGCATGGCACAAGATAAAAGGGGATGCGGGAAAAGCAAAACAGTCGATCTAGAAATGTCGGCAAAGAATGGCGGAATAGAATGACCCATAGATATGTGAGACAGTAAACACAATGAATGCAAGCATCGCAGTCCGTCAAACTGATCCTATCAATGGCACGATAAAGGAGGAAACAACAAATGAATGTCATTTTGAGGCGAATAGATAGTTGGAGAATCCAACTATGTCGCTAATTATGCTAAGAGATCATTCGAGGGTGAAATTTTTGGTCATAAGTAGTCTGAATGAGCTGAAGTTACCCACTGTTAAGCAGATCAGGGAGGTCAGTGATCTCTGCACTTAGCCGCCTCTCCTTTCTGACGATGCAACGAACCTGCTCGCGTGAGAGCGATGTAGCTGTATTTTCCTCTGAGAGACATCCCTATCAAAGCCTTGCTGCTGGATGACTTAAGCACATTTTGAGCTGGGTGAGAGCTACGAGAACTAGTGAGCTGGCTGCCATTGTTTCGCTACTAAAAAATTAGTATTTAAAATGCCTCATCACTTTGTCAGTCCATTTGCTTCGCTCAGTAAAGCTTTGGTAGGCATTGTACAGTCAACCTGAAAGGCGAGACACACGAATAAGGCTACTTCCATGGGAATGTCGGTGTGACTGGCAATTGACTGGATAGAAAAGTGAATGCCGATGTCTGACTGTCCGATGAGGAAATTAAGATGCTCTGAGCCTCCAACCACGTTAAGAACGCACGTGTGTGGAACTAATGATAAGGCGGGGAGTACTTCATTGCCTCAAGATTTATCTTCCGGTGGGCTATAAAAAGCGCGTGTGGTCTGGGCATGGAGAAGGGGGCGAAATGGAAAGGGATAAAAATTGATGGAGGACAAGAAGGACGGCAAGGGAGAACAAGGGTTAACTCGGCTAAAGCGTAGGTATATGCTAGAATAAAATGTTAAAAAAATGAATAATTATCGCGACAATGGGACCGATGGATGCGAGCACTGAAACACACTTTCTAGTCCCAAAAAAACAATGGAATTTCCCACCATTAACCTCTCCTAGAAAGGAAGCCATTCACTTATTCAAATTGGGTGTACATTAGACCCGAAGGTATGGTAAAGCATATGCGGTTTGTTGACTCAATACTCACAAGAAATGGGACGAGATGGGAATGAACAGCTCGTTTCTCTTGTTTTTTGCTGTTGATGAAGCGAAAGTAATTTTCCTACCTTTCAATCTAATTGTTCATTCACGTGTGAACGCGATGCTAAAATTGAGGCTCAGGTAAAGGGGCAAACGTGTTTTGGAAAGAAAGTGAAAGATTTCGTTACGTTTAAAGGTGGCTTTGTTCTCTGCAAAGCTGAAGAATCCACAACCCCTAGGCGAGGTGAATTTCAGCTCTTTTAGACTGGCTAGTTACAACCGAGGGAGGCTCTCCATTCCTATGCTGGACTTGGCATCAGGCAGAGTTAACCACATTCACGAAGCATTAAAATGCCTGGAAAAGGATAAAGGCGAAATTCTTGGAAGAAGCAGATAGTATGTATTCAGTTCGGACGTTATCAATATTCTTTGTCCAGAAAACTAGTCAACCGAAGCACATATGGATAGTAGCTGTCATCAGTCCAGTCACGCATCGCGGAGACCGCTTTTACGACACGTCACTGCGACTTGCTGCCTCCGTGCTCCTCGCCACTCTTCCCAGAATTGTTACACACACAAACAACCAAGTGAGGTAGGGAGCGCTGACTGCTAATAAATCGACTGCCGTGACTCACAAAGCAGCAGAGACAGCAGAGATGCTATCATCGCTGACAGAGGCGGTACTCCCACTCATCCAGAAAGAAGACATTTACCGGCCCCTAATCCCATTCTTCTCTCTCGTCAACCTGTACATACATGCACAAACGAGGAGCACTCATAACTGTTGATAGATTGGATCGCGGCTCGACTGCCCCTCCTCTAATAGATGGGAAGTAAAAGTTCACATTTCTAGTAGACTTTACAAACCTTCAGAGCGAGATGAATGTACTCGCTGGGCGAGAGACCACTTTTGGAGGGATCTTGAAGTTTTTGTGAGGCAGCTTCCAGTAGGCATTCGACCAAACTGATAACAGGTCTTCCAGGTAGCCCGAGCCAACCATACTCGTGAAAGGGACAGTCGAGAGAAACGTCAGAAGAGCAGTAGAGATATTGCGAGGGGTCAGGACGTTGGGGCATTCGTTGCCATGATGAAAATCGATGGCGTCCCTGTTGGTAATGGTGATGATGGTTGTAGGGGAAGACACAAGATGCAGAGGGTGACGGTGGCGAAAAATGGAAGCAGGAGAAGGAGGTGGTGTTGGCGGTGGCCGTGGAGGAGGGGTTTATGCCAGCCGATGCACATGAATAATGGCTGCGTTGCTGGATAGGAGAGAAGTGCTGAGGTTGTGGCGGCGGTGGAGGAGGGGGGCTTTTGAAACCTCCCCGAGACTGGTTTCCACTGCCGCCCAAAGAGGAGTTGACTCCAATACCCTTTCCTATAGCGGAGGCGAAGTAAAAAAACAAATCACTCAAAGGCGTAACACGGCGTTGTATCTATAAACTTAGTCCAGAATTTGTGGTAAATAACAAGGGCTACAATTTGGTCATGTAATTTTTAATCACGTTCATTTCACTTCCAAAGGAATTTGCAATAGAAGGCATGACATTTGGCATTTGAATCCATCAAGTGAAGAGTTGGTTTTTTTTTCCAAACCCACATTGCGAAAGCTATGCGTACTTCCATCTCCTTCCCTGAACTCAGATTAATTTCGCAATTTGAATGCGGCTCTTCTGTTTAGCAAAGCACCGAAGTCTGATAAAATCATGCCGTCACACATTCGGGGGTGGACAATGGCAAACGGGAATGCTGGCACCGTCATTCGCCTGTTTACATCCGGGTTCCATGATGTTTCGCCACCGTGAGTGATCGTAAATAATGGTTCGGTAGGAGAGAACCGAAGAACATTTGGTAGAATCCTACAACCTACTCTGCTGTCCGGTTCAAAATTTAGGCGGGTTGATCGTGGGAGCGACAGGTGTTCAGCGCACCACTTGGTGCAAATTGAAACTACGTTCTCGAATTTCGTCCCCACGATGGACGGGGAGGTATTCAGATTCCCTATGGTCGAAAACCAGCACGCCATAAGGATTAACAGATTCTCAGAGCTATGCAGAAGAATGCATAGATCAATTTCACTCCAACACGATGTAGAGCTAACAGAACACTTTTGTTCCTTGACCTTTCACGGAACACATTTGGTCATCTAGGGCGCTGGCAGAATGACAAAGGCCAGACGAGAATTCCAACCAAAGAAAGGAAAGAAGATCGCAAAGTGAATGGAGCGACTTGCCTGAAGTCTACAGGTGACAGTGAGGTGCGAAATTCGAAGACCCAGCCGTCTTTTTGTGGCTTATTTCATTATTCCGTATCACCAATTTTATCACTGTAACTGCATCAGTCCAAGACGCAAAAGAAGCAGGATTTTTAAAGGATTCCAAGAAGCTGTTTAAAAGCTTCACTGGATTGGGTTAAGTTATGCTTTCAAAGCAACACTTACTTCTTCAAATGCGCCTTATAATTGAGAGTAGGTTGCCTTCAAAACCTTATCGTCCTTAGTTGCATTACCAATTGAATTGTGAAGGATAACTTCCAACTAATCTACAGAATGCTACTATCAGAAACGGCATTCCCCTTAACCAACGTATGCATGGCTTCTGAATGTTGCCGTGATAGGCATGAGCTTGAAAGAGACTCCAGAGTGGTTGAACTACACAAATTAGTTGATTATGCTCGAAGTCTGTTAACGCTACCTATAATGAAGACCAAAATGGCTAGAGCTGTTTGTTAGTTCCCTTCAAAAAGGGGAAATGGTTGTTCCTGCGAATCAATCGACAAACTGGATTGGACATCCCTTAGCCCTTAGCCTAAGCGTGCTCTCCTCTCCCACCTATTTTTGCCTATATATGTCACAGCGTTTTTCTTTCCTGACGGTGTATCACTTGAATCCTCTACAAAAATTGCCTTGGATACAAAATTAACTACTCAATGATCGGTAACACCTTTCATCTCTTAATGCATCTCAGTCTGTGCGTGTTAGGATCAAAAGAACATAAAGTAAAAAGATTGCCGATCACAGTTCGACCAATGGATTGGAAGAAGCGCTTGTTTGCTTCAAAAGTTCCTGCAGTTAATAGCTACCTCTTGAAAGCATTACAAGTTGCCTTTGGCATGAAAGATCTCACGACGACTAATACGCCTTCGCCAACCGGTACACTTCATCCAGAAACCGACAAAGTGCAACTGTTGATCCAGCACTCGAAGCGCAATAGCTTAATTTCACACCTCTTGTGGTCAAGACACCAAATCCACCCTGACGATCTTTTTCCCCAAAGAATAAAATCTTGGTTGAAATTTAGGCAAGGAGCCAAACCACTGTAACACGAGAGAACACGCCTAAGTAGAGCAATGCCTAGACATTTTGCAGTGTATCCTGCTGTCAAATTGACAAGTCGCAATCTTTTTTTTCACGGTTAAATTAGATAACACTCAAGTAGAATTTCACGCACGTAGACTGAAGATGTCAAATCACTGCCGTTAGACAAAAAGCAGAAGGCTTGATCATCAGATAACCAGGACTACGTATTGGCGTGGAAGTTCGCGCTCCATCTCTAACTTATTGTCTTCCAAATGCCAAAGAAAGATGGAATCAGAAGTCTTGAACCAAGAAACGTGTAGACACACCTGATCCTCCCGAATTCGATCGAACAAAGCTCGGCGATTGTGACGTCATTGGGGACGGTGCTGGTGAGCAGGGTCCCGAGGTTATCTCCCCTAGCGTGGCACCTCTATGGGAAACATCTTCAAGGCACGCAATTAGGAGGTTTGCCAGATTTACCGCAAGCCGAGTCGCAGTTTCCCCAAATCCCATTACGTGAAGTGCAGAGGCGCGCAAACAAGCTGTTACAAAGTCCTCCTCAGCGCCCCACGCGCGTTTAATCACCATGGAGGCACCACAGAATGGGCACATGCATTGACGGGAGTCTGTGGGCAGGGTGCGAATTAATTCAGATATTGTATTTCGTGGGATCGGAGGAAATTCCTCTGAGATCTCCAGGGGGAGTGCACTAACGTCCAAAGCCAGTTGGAAGACAGAAGTGGGTTCCCGACCACCTCGAGGGGCAACGAAACCTTCTTCAGCAGGTGATGTATCATTGCTGGAGTAGGAAGGAAAGAAGTAGATTTCGTCGCGAGGTGCCTGCGGCGACTGAGACCACGTGAGCAGCCGTTCGCGCCATCCGTCACGGTTTGCGGAGGAAAAACCGGGAGCAAGGAGAAGGCAGGTCCATAGACGTGCCACCTCCTCCCATAGCGGTACCGTCCATATGGGTGGTGATTGGCTGGCGCTAGGTCCTGCTCTCTGCTGTCGATGCTGAGTGTCTTGAGCATCGGAATCGTCTAAACTTTCATCGAAATCCCCTGTGTAGGGATCCCACACCCCACGGTCTGCAAGACCCCCGCCACGATTGTTTCTACGTGACTTGAGAGCCTAAGTAGAAGGCACGATAAGAGTAATCGTTACTGCATTTCAACACCCAGAAGTGTCTATTCTACGTGTGGGTATAATACAAAGGATGCATTTTCGTCAGCACATCAAAAAACACCTCTTGTGCTCTTATTTCCACGTGCCTGCCTAGATTCATGATGAGCATATCTGAAGTGGAAAATGGTTAATTTTATTATCTACAAAGCAATCAAAAGGGAAATTCTAAGTGAATGCAAACTTTATATCCTGATTTGGTAACTAAGAGTGGGATAAAATCCGTAGGACTGTTCTAAAATGGATCGAAAAGCTCCACTATGCTAACGAGAACTAAAACCTCGAAACGTGTGAAAGCGCAGTCAGGCGGCTAAGGAAGGTAGTAGAAGTTGAGAGAAAAGATGCCTTCCGGGCCAGAGTTGGGGCAAATCAAAAGTGAACAACAGTGGATGTGACATTTAGTGTTCGGGAAAAAACCCACAAGTCTGATGCTTTATCAGTGGGGTTAAATGTTAGCATAGAGACTGGACCTCCGGAAAGGTCGTCCACAGATGGTGAACCTGTGGAGCTGAGATGCAAAAAGCACCTCCTTTGACTCTCAAATGGCACTGCCCTGGCTTCGCACTTGGACTTCCCATCAAGTCATGATCCAAAAAATAAGCCTATGTATTCCTTCTTGATAGCTGGACAAGAAATATCAACAAGAGGCCCCATTAAAGAGGATTTCGAACAATGATGAAGAAATTGTTATAAGGAGATTTAGTTGTAAAATGCCTTAGTCTTGTATACCCAACAGACGTTGTATCGGCTGCACGTACATTGTCTTCTTTTGCATTTGGTTCTACGGACTGAGTGAATAAATGAAGGAATGACTCGGGAATGGGTAAATGAATAAACCAAGTGATGGATGTGCATCTTAACCTAAGAATAGGTGGAATAGAAAAACTCTGCAGGTGGTTTAAAAAACACTCCTCCTATGCCCATTGATAACGCCTTACTGGGAAAGCTATTGCTGTAGCGGGATCAAATGTACACTTGCCCGATTGTCAGGATGGGCTACATCGACCTGCACCATCAAGAATACATTAAAAGTATCAGAAAAGACAAAAGCGATGGATTGTATCACCGTCGCTAACCAATAATTGGAGGTGATGGTAATAATTAGCTTTTGGGCTCAACTTTTAGGGATTCTTCAAGTTCTTATTTCCAATGGATAAAATATCCCATACTGAATGTGTTACTTCTACTTTGAATTTTATCGTTTCCATGCTTCTAATGACCAGTGACTTCAGCTCAGCACCAAGGACTATCCTTCTGCATAGAAGTCATGTTGGTCAATTTTGGAAATCTGCATTCCGTGAAGTAATTTCCACTAATTAAACTCACATGCACCAGAGGAGGTGGCATGTGGCATTAATCATTTGCCAAAAATACTAGTTACGGTAGCAGCAAGTATAACTCATGGGTTAAGAAGAACGCGCTGATTGTCATTTGGAAGCATAATGGATTACTCCATCGACACGCTGGATCGGAAGTCCCATTGTTCTCAAATCCAATCCCGATGAATGGAAAAGGTCCACACCTTCTAAGTAGAGTTGAGGAGCACCAAGACTTTGCCAGAGTGAAGGGACTTACCCGATAGTGACAGCGAATGTGAATCATCGAGCCAGAATTGACAGTTCCTTAAATAATGAACAGTTCTTCTACTTTTGGCTTTAGCGGCTGAGCAGATCTGATTACGGATCGTTTATTGTAAGCATGCCCAGTAAAGCTGGTAGCATTTATCCCTACTGAAGCATAGAGTAGCAATTAGAAGCAAGTCTCTCTCTAGCCAGCTACAATTCTGTGAGTATCAAGAAGCAAGAAGGTAATTAGGATTTGCAATGAGTAGTCAGTTAATACTTCTGAAGAAGCATCCCTCAAAAATAGACCGACGCCATTTGAAGACCACAGAGGGCGTGAAGATGAGTGGAATCGTAATGGCGTCTCAAGCTGAAGACTACTCGGAGTATGGCTAGCAGTGCAGATTTTCTCAAGGCGATGTCTTCAGCTATTACGTGCTACGGGCACAGTACTTCCAATTTGCACACTTTAGTGGGCAAATCAACTATGGTCAAGTTGGTGGTCCCTCAGAAATCTAACTACGATTAGCAATTCACACAGTGCCAAATACTACCCCTGGAAAATACAAAACTTCGCCAACTCGCGTCCAGTAATGATAGAAAGCGACTGAAAATGCAAGCCACTGATTCGGCTGTTTCGTACACTCCCAAGTGTGCTCATGTGGCATTACAGGTATGCTTTTTACACTCACTCTATGATGGAGGTAGATGAACATGGCAGCATCGAATAAACCTACGATGAGCAATTAGGTGCAAAGTGTATCAAAGCATTGACTACTTAAACTTGTCTCCAAACGAATAATGTAATTTCATGCAACAGGATACACCACCAAGCAACTCCGATTGAATAAACAGCGGAAGTTTCGCTCGCGATGAAGAATGAGGCGAGACTGCTGCAGTTGATGACAGACGTGGTCACTCACCACCGTTAACTGGTGACCGAAGAGGATTGACTGACTAATGCAATTAAAAATTCAGTTGCGAGGTCCACAAGCATGAATCTCATGCATTGACATTCAGCTTAAGTGGAATATATTTCCGTAGGAGACTGTTTTTTAAACGCATCACTAGTGGGATATGGTAAATGGATACCGAAAACACCAACTTCTGATCTACTAGGGCTTACATTAGGCATATCAGATTGAACATCAGTGGAGGAAACTGCTTTCTCAGAAGTGTAGTAGTTAAATTGAAAGAATTTGTCGAAGCACGTCCGAACAACAGGCCGTAAGAAATTAAGAAAGTGGGCCGTTCGACCTTTGGAAGGCGACACTACTTGCTACCCTTTAGTTAGGTATTACTGTGGGAATGGCAGAAAAACACAAAAATAAATGCGTACTACGATAGAAAAAAATGATCCGTTTCCTTCACACAATGAAGGCTTGTAAACGGTTTTGAGATCCATCCACAACCAACGACTCAAGACCACACATTAATAACTTTTAAATAGTAAAATGGCAGATGGATCAGAGAGTTACCATTAAGTTTGCGGAATTTAACAGCTCTTCAGTGATAATGGCGAGGAGACGCGGTCCATTTGTGTCGCGAGCAGCTAAAAGTTCGTAAGTTTTTGCAAATACCATGGCAATTTGACTTCCAGGAAAGTGATGAGGGGCAGTGGAGCTAATGTTGAGCGAAGTGAAGCTTGGGAGAAGGTTTTGCATTGAGCCAACATTAGTGTTGCCACCACCGCTGCCATTTGCCATGTGATGATGTATCGAATGCACCGACGAGTGGACCGAGTGAGCCGTTGTAGCAGCAGAAGAGGATGTCGTATACCCGAAAGGTGGCAGTTTAGAGCGTAGAAGATGGCGGTAGTTCTCTAGCCAAGTGTGAGCAAACGAGCGATAAACTAAAATTAAGACGAAAATGCAATTCGCGTCAGAGTAAGCCATCCCATGTCCATTTGTGAGGAACAAATGAAAACTGCTGAAAAAGTGCTAAATTCAGGTTTTTACAAATCTTTACGACCAGATATTAATTTAAAAATGAACCCTCTGAAACAATGGGACTGGCGATAGAACCGAGGGCTTAAGAGGAAGATCATCACCTACAGCTAGAGGAAAGTAGGGCAAGCAATTTAGTTGCCTCTTGCCCTTAAAGCCAACAGGCAAGCAGGAGGGCTAGTAACGGGTCTGCAGGGAATTTCTAATGGGGTTAATCCACTTGGCTTAACTGGCTAGAGAATCAGGCTTACTGCAAAGAAGACAATATCAAGGCAACCAAGGAAAAGTGAAGCTTTGAGAAGAAGGACAGAGGGCGGGAGATAAGAAAGATAGGAAATTTAACATTTTGACAAAAAAAGCACATTGTCCAATCGAAGAGACCTCATAAACTTTTCCTTTCTCCCAAACCGCAAATGCTTATAACATTTGCTTCGTTTCACAAAAGGCGTCCATATACTGCTAAGGTTGTAATATTCTTTTGTGAATAAGAATGAAAGGAATCGATCAAGTTTGGCTATTAAATGAAGTAGAAAGATGATTTTGGATTTTGGTGTTATGCGATACAGGTGATGATGAGGCCAGTAAAAGCTAAAGTTCTGAATGATAAAACAGTGCTGTTATGTTTGATCAAATCTCCATTTTATTCAACAATTCACGAGACTCAGTGGACTTCGGTTAGCCATTGAATATGGCATCTGAGTGGCTCGTAGCATTCATCCACCTGAACAAAATATGCACAGTCTTCGTATTCCTCTTCCGATGATGGTGGGAGGAGACTTGAAGGACCGACAGGGACGGTTTGAAGTGTAAAGGTCCACAAATTTTGCGAAACATGCACCACGCATGTCCAGCGAATAAGGGTTTTTAAGGTGTTGACATGAGACGCACTCCTCTCCGTTGCTACTTTACTGGGGTTCTGTAACACCTAAGCCCGTCACATTCTCCTCCTCTCTAATGAAATTCTATATTCATGCAAATTGAGCCATGCAAAATTGCCATTTCGTCCAACTGGTGTGACCTATCTTTAACACGTGAATGAGATCTTACCAAAATTGCGGGGTTTGAAGCCGTTCTCGTCCGTGATTAAGCCCTCGTCAGTGGAATATCGAGAAGAAAAGCGACCGAACCGACAGTGATGAAAGTCGGAGTGAACATTGTTGACAAAGAGCCTTCCATATGTGGAAGAAGAGGTGGAAGAGTTGGCAGAAGATGCAGGACCAGCTTGTGAGGAGGTCACGTCAAAAGCGTTACAACCACCTGCTCCATAGGCAGCGAGAGCTGCTAAATTCAAGCGCAACTGTTCTTGAACCCCGCTCTCGTCAAAGTACCATGTGGAGGAGTCGTTTATACCACCACCCGCTGTAGGATCTGGTGCTCCTGTGGAGGAAGACATGCGATTATTAAATAACTCGACACGAGTGTACCAGCAGAACTTTTGATCACGTGATGCATTTTACGACATCAAGTCCATCAGAATTTGTTGCCAAAATTACTCCTGTTTACTCTACTTCTAAACAAATCCAACCGTGAAGAAGTTCTGAAGCAAAAGAGACTAAGTCAATAACAAGGGCGCCAGACAATGTAGGGAGCACCACAGACCAACTTCAGATTGTGGTTTTCAGTCACCATTTGTTAGCTTTTACCCTCCATAAACGTCATCAACGTCAATTACCGAACTATCAGGAAGTTAATTCAAATGTGTCTGTTAATGCGATGGTCAAGTGCTGTTAGACTCGACTCACGATGAAGTAGTAGCACTGCAAAAACGGTTACCGTGAGGCTAGAAATTCGAAAGTGGCAACTCTGAGATGACTGTCCACAAGGCTTTGGAGGACAGCAAGTCAGCGATAAAAAGTCATCTGTGAAGCTTGGACTTCAACCAGATTAAGCAGGTGAAGAGAGAGCAATAAGCATGTAGTGATAGTACCACCAAAGGTTCTACACCCCTATAAAAGTAACCCAATATTAAGACAATGGGCAATTCAAGACCTTGCTAAAGAAAGCAAGTTGTTCAGTGTCCTGCCTTTTAATTTTTGTAGCTCCCAGCCAAGCTTTGTTCACTAATATCGCAAACAGACATTTGTGATACCCTCAGTGCATACAATTAAGAGAGCAACTAGTAATAAACCTTTTTTGCAGCACTAAAATTGCATGGTGCGTTTCAATAATGCGTAGCTCCATAACTACGGGATGTTTGGTAGAAGAGGACAACAAAAATGATGAGCTGCAAAAAGAAGATAGGTGATTATTGTTAGTACTGCTTTAACCTTAAGAGACGGTCCCACTTCTCTGTGCTTTTGCAGCTTCTCGGTTTCAACTGATCCAGCTCCGTGAGTGGTGAAGCAGTCTACTTTGTATCGATCCGACGGGACGCCTGTAAGGATGCGTAGCTGCCTTGCGCCGACGTCGCGTGGAGCAAGGAGCGAAACATTATTTATGTTTAGACAGACTCCAGAGGTAAGGGTGAAGTTGATGTCTTGCGGAGGAGCCTTTTAAGAGGTCTCACACTCTTGAGAGCTTTTTCAACCGAGACTGGAAAAACGTGGCTCACTTAAAGTGTGCACACAAAAAGAGACGGATAGTCGCGATAGGAGAAAGACCCTACCACCACTCACATGCTTCTGGCAGAGCAGATGGAATCGTCCAAAAACACAACTCAATTGAATGGATTGCGCAAAACATAGCATATGCATGATTTATGACAAATAAACGTAAAGAACGGTACAGAAAAATCAGCAGTTCAAATCGGTGCCGAGAGGAGCGTCAATTTCACATGTGGTGACTTTGATCCGGAAGTATATCCACATTCACATGGGATCGCTCAAGTCATGCATGAGAGATGCACTTTACCAAGCTTGGCTATCTTCTCCATATGAAAGGAGTACCTTTGCCTCCCATGTTAAACCGTCAGACTTAAAAAATGTAGTCAAATACCGAAGACCCCACGGAAGAACATCCGTTGAATCAGTTACGGATGGTAATTATATTAGGACATTTTCATGCAAGACGAGAAAGCAGACAGTACAGACTGCCGTCGACGCGATTTGATGAATTACTTCGACATTAAAGACCTTCAGATAAAATGGTGCTCCAGGCTAATCTAATCACTCATGCACATTCACACTTGCTACTTATTGTGGAAAACACCATACCATTCGCTCGTCTCTGTTTGTTTTAACATATATCTGCAAAACTACACCTAACGTTTAAAATCGCTTCCACATGAGTCGCCAGGTGACCAACTAGGCTAATGATAGAGGAGGATAGAAGATATTTCGACTTTCAGTGAAAAAGTTCCTCATCTAAAGTCAAAATGAGGCGCCGAAGAGGGACACGACCATGGAATCGCCAGTGCAATTTTGATTCCGACAACAAAGTGACTTAGCACGCAAAATAGGAATTGAATGGCGTCATCCAGCCAGCAAAGCACGAAACCCTTAAACAGCAACAATTACATAGTGGATGGAGGGGGAAGAGGTGGTGGTGGTAGTAGTGGCAAGACGCAACCACTGCGGCGTCTAATTGCTCGCAGTAGAATGAGAAAGGCCAAATGTACGTGCTGAAAATAGGACCAAGAAGGCTGGAGATTCCGTTTCCAACGGATATCTCGCTTCCGGTCCTGACCCACACTTCACATTCACTTCATCGGACATCCACTGAAAGCCTCTTGAAAGTAATACTAGGAGGGCAGAAAAATCACTGGGGTCAAAGTGAGCATGTATACAGGTAAGAGTGAAAGCGCTTCTATTATTATATGAGACAGAATCATTACGTTGGTTATTAAAACAGATTCAAATAAAAGGATTGCTATTGCAGCGTGAACGAAGAACCTTTCTCGGCAGACATCAGAGCCTAAAATGCCTTTAGGTGGACCCATTTGATGCAGATCAACAAAACTTTGGAAGGAAGTAAATCGACGTTTGCTCAAGGGATCATTCGCCGAGAGTTCATTTTAGACATGTACAATTAGAGGAGGGAGGGGAGGTCACCCATTAGGTACGAAGAGGCTTGATCCCGAAGGCAAAAAATGGGATGTCTTGACTTATGCTGCCTAAGCGCAACGATGACTAACCTCGTATTCGAGTTACGGCTGAAAGTGGGATTTCAGCACCTCTGAGGGTGTCTAAAAATAAGTTCCTCAAACAAAAGCGTCGTCAAGAGAGCGCTAAAATCTATTAAGGCTTAATCAGAGGCAGAAAAAATGCGCTTCACTATGAGAACGTACAGTATTTAGTCCAATAGGCTAAAAGGAATTGAAGTACTCTCATTAAATCATGAGCATGGTCGAATGTTGCATGGCGGAACCTACTTCTCGTTTGAAAAACGTTAGTACTGCACTCCCAACGCGCAATGATGAGTGCTTTAACAGCCCAAAAGAAAGCCATTTAGCTGCGATAAGCTCATCCATTGCCGCGCCGATTCGGTCTCGGCGTGGAAAAATAAACAAGCTGCAGTGGTTGCTGTTAGAAGGGGACACTGTTTGAAGTTCGTTTTGGTGGTACCGTGCCTTCAATACCCAAGTGATTCAAAACAAAAGGTGGTACCTATTGTGGCCGACGGTGGTGCTATCAATGCAAACGTTGATCAGTGCCAACGATTCATAAACAACAGTGGACCAACATTTGGCCATGCCACTCAGTGACTAGGCGGTTTCGAATCTCCACTCGCATACTTGAACCTCACGAGGTTGCGACTATTTTGATGCAGGTATAAAATACAGAAGAGAATTTAGAACTTTTGCTCAGTCAAAACTCAGAAGTTAAACAGGTGAACATTGCACAAATGGAAGCAAGTTTCATGGAAATCCAACTCCACAGTCTCAAGCTACAGTCAAAAAGTCATTGAGCAAAATACAAGTCACAGATCCACAATTGAATCGTGTTTGAAGAGATGGCTATAACAATCAAACATGGAGGTCACTAAGTCCTCGTTTCGCAAAAGACATCGAAACGACTTGAGTTTCAATTAAGTCACATATTTTTTCAGGGTTGTCGCAATACTCAAACCAAATATCGCTACAGTCATGACTTACTAGGAGTCACATCTATGGGAGAATCAGAAAGCGGCCGACAGACCTGATGCTATGGTACGCCAAACGGCGTTTCGTTAGACTGTGGCCAATTTGAATAAGTGAATGATGAGACATGCGTCTCAGGGATACCAATTACGACTCCATTTGGAAATAACTAAAGGAGATGTCACTGAAAAACAATAATACGGATAAGCACTTTCACAAGCGTCAGACTACGAAAGACTACTGGAAAACAATCGCGAAACTTGTTAGACTTTCGAAGTTCTAAACTTTTGCAACTGGTAGGTTGGATTTGTGGCTTACCTTCGTTCAACATATGCTGCTTTTTTGACCTCTGCTAATTGAATGGTTAGCTTGGATCTAATTCCTTTGACCCTATTAGAACTGAAGAACTGCGACTCATAGACATTCCTCTGGCCTCAAAGACAAACGAACTTTGTTACGAACCGCATATTATACGCTAGTTTGATCGAGTTTCCAACCATAAACTACAGGTTCAAAACTAGAAATGATGCTAAGATTCACTAATTTGGCGGAACAGGTTGCTGCATTAGTGGTCGCTACTGGACTCAGCGAAGCATTAGGGGGTTACCGATAACCGTTATTAGTTTCTGTCAACCAAACCAACAGGTGGTTTGCGATTCGTAAAATTTAGTCTCTCAAACAATTATTTTCATACACAAACGACGAAGGAGTTTCGAGATTTCCGGATCAACACCACGCCTAAGCAACGCACATTAATAGGACATGCATTCGGATCCAAATGAACCCCAAACACTTCATGCAGTCATAGACACCAGGATGGGGAATGTGGAGGGTATAGCGGCTTGTCCCAACAACATCCTCAGACCAGGTTTATATGGAAGGCGACTGATCAGAAGAACATCGGTGAGTGGAATAGATTAGAAAGGCTTCCATCAGAGTCGAGAAGGCCGAACGAGTGGAATTTTCAACCTATCACCAGAGTGCTTTTTGCCTCAGCGTATTAAATCTGCAGACGTTTCTGAGTCCGGAGAATCACTACAGCTTCTTTCTACCAACGAAACAGGCGATCCGCAATGCGCTTAATTCATTATCCAAAAAATCTGTCCAACAGCTCCACCCAACATAGCGACAACAGGTCCTCGAAGGGAGCGAGTCATTGTCATTATGCCCTTTAGATGGAGATCGCTCTCAGGTCAGATGCAGTGAAATGCGGCCTGCATAATCATCTCGCCCACCTCCATGGACCTAAAAGTGGGCGATCACCGACGCTAGCCGTTTTCGAAAACCAAAGGCAATACCATCACAACTCTAATAGTTCCATCCAAAGGATTTGGATCCATGTGGTTTAAATAAGTTACCCCAAGTGCAAAACACAA